TGTCATTTTGGCAAAGGAAATTGTATTTGGTGTTGCACCACTAATTGCATGGTAACATTAAAAACTATGGAGATCATATTCAGGGTATTCCTAAACTGTGCTTATCAGCTGTTACATATGTTAAAAGTTTCGGGAAGTCAATAACCTCGAAGCCAGAGTTACCACCTTATGTCAAAGCACTATTTTTAATTTTTTAAAGCTTTCCTCTAAAAAGAGTGTAGACGACCAATTATAGCTGTCTGAAAATTTAACAGACGAAATTGGATCCTCAGTATATGTATAATAAATACCTACACATTTTTATAATCTCAAATAAGTGTGTACCCTTGTAATTTCTCATCTTTACAATGCTCTTTATTGACACAAGTCTGAACCCTATGCCCCTGGAGATCTTGAACTTGACTCACCTGCTGCTGGGAGAGCTTCAGCTTGACGCGCTTGGGCAGACCCGTGGGGAAGGGTGCCGCATTCTTACTGCCTCGAGTGGAGGGGCTCTGCTGATGCGACTTTGAGCTGCTGCTGGCGGCGCTACTGGGCGGCAAATCGCTGTCCAGGGTGAGGGGGGCGCGGGAGAACTGATTCTGGAACTGCATGACGCACTGGTATGTGCAAAAGTTGCGCATGGAGGCGTCCGACATGGTCAAGTGATACTGCGGCGTATTGAAGTTCGAACAATTGTCGCACTTGGTCACCGCTCGGGCGGAGATGTTGCAACTAACGCCATGCATGGTCAGGCAGTTGATGGAGCAGGTGAGCGTCTCCTGATCCTGCTGTCCGCCCACCTGGTAAATCATGTCAAAGTTGTACTTCTTCACCTTGCACCACTGGCAGGACACAATGTGCCTGTTGACGATGATGTAGACGTTTATGCAAACCCGCGAGCAAAAGACCTTCGGTGACTGCTGTTCGTTGTAGATGGTGTAGGCCTCGGCGCTCCGCCGCTCAAAGTACTTGGAGCACATGGCGCACGGATCGGCGTTCACGTTGCTTACAAACTTAAAGGCCGAGAAGCAGGGATTCGAACAGAAGTAGTGCTCTCTGTCCTCCAGTAGCATCTCCACCCGCACTGGCTTCTCGTTGTTGCAAACACCACACACATCTGTGCGCAGCTTTCGACGGGGATTGCACATGCTGTCGTAGCGACGAAGGCAGGCTTGCGAACAAAAGTCCTTGAACTGGTCCTTGTCACCCACCGGGGCCAGGAAGCCCTCCTGCCCGCCACTAATGTCTTTCTGGCAGCAGGAGCAGGTCTTCAGACCTTCTTGAAGGTGTTGAGGCATCCAGCGCAGCAGAACTGCCTCACATCGAATCCGAATCGAACGCAGTACTTGCCCAGGGCCGTGGAGCTCACCTCCTGCTTGCAGGTCACGCAGCTGGAGCCGATCGTGCGCTGATAGCTGCCCAGACACACCTCATTGCAAAAGTCCATAGTCTCCCACATGAGTGTTTCTCGTTGGCATTGATCTCCGTTTCGCAGTCGGAGCAGCGCCTCCTGAAGCTCTCGATCCTGTCCAGGCGCGCAGTCTCCGCCTCGGCCAGCGTCCTGGCCACCACGCTGCTCTCGGGCTGTTTGCTGGGCGAGTTTTGAGGCGGCTGCAGCGTTGTGGCGCCAATGTTGCGGACTCGGATCGAGTGACGCTTCAGCTTGAATTTTTCCGGCTCCTCTGCGTTGAGCAGATTGAAACAGTCGTCGTTGCAGATGTAGAAGCAGTCTTGGTCCTGCTTGATGAAGTACTTGCACCGCGTCTGCTCCTTGCACTGCAGGCAGTCATGTGTATTGGCGGGAGTGGCATCCTCTCCAGCTTCTTCGGCCTCGGTCTCTGCCTCCGCCTCGGCGGCGCCTTCCTCCCGAACCACCTCCTCCACCAGGAACTTCTTGCGGCGCACAAAATACTTGCCGGCTGATCGGCTATTAGGCATTGACACAGCGGTGTCACAGATGTACTCGAACCCACTAGGAGCAGGTTCTTGCGGCGGCTCCTCCTCTGCATTCTCCTCCCCCTTGTCCTTGTCTTTATTCTGGTCCTCCGACTCTTCAGGTTTCTTGTACCTGAAGCCACAATTCTTTTCGTTGCCGCACTGCTTGCACTTCTGCACGCTACCACAATCCAACTGATGATGATTTTCGGCGTTGCCCCCGATTCACCCGCTCCGGCGCTGGAGGATTCCTCGGCATTCGGCTCGTCGGCATCGGGAGCATCAGCACCAGCCTCCTCCTCGTTGCCGCTGCATCAGCTCCGTCGTCTGTTAAGAAGGGTGGATTTACATTAGTTTTCATCGTTTGCTCTACAATCAACAGGTGGCTAATTTAAATGGTAGTGAGTCGTGATGTATTAATATCTCAATTTACTAGCATTTAATAAAAATGTAATTTTTACTTTTGTGTAAAAGCGGTAATATTGGCGAATCGTATGTGGTCTTACATATATCAAATATTAATAATATTTGATTAGCTTAAAATACGAAGCGCATGCTTAGAGCAAATGATTTCACTACAAAATTTATAAGGCTTTCCAAAAGGACAAAGAAAATAGCAAAAGCAATAAGAAGAGTATTGCAAATTAAAACACTGTCTTGTTGAATAAAGCTTTTAAGCAATGATGGTAATGACGTTCGTCCAAATATAAACCCAATCTGCTCACCTTCGGCAATATCTGTTGCCGCCGCCTTCGCTCCAGCTTGAGCATCTGTAGGCAAAATGGATAGAGTAGATGTGGGAAGGGACATTTGAGGTGTTCGTCTGGCACACATACCATTTGGCGTTGATGGGGACTCGTCGGTGGGGTCCACGACAGCGGCACTATCGTCTTCTGGATCGACGGGGGCATCTGCAATGGTTTTCCCATCGTTATCGGGTGTCTTGGCCTGCCGCTCCTCGGCTTCCTCCTCTTCGGCGGCTTTCTCGGCGTTCTCGCGAGCCTGTTCCTTCTCAGCTTCAGTCACCTCCGTCTCCTGATCGTCGGGAATAAGGCAAACGTCTGATTCCTCGGGCTCCAGCACATTTTCAACAGTGTCTGTAAGGTTGGTTTATAAATTATAGTTTAAATAAAGATCTTTGCGTTTTTAAAGCATACCATCGCCATGCTCGGCTTCACCAGCTTCTTCTGCAGCTTCCTCAACCTGTTCCGAATCTGCATCGGCCTCTGGATTGTCATCTTCATCGGCAGGCGTCTCTTTTTCCGTCTCGTCTGGATCTTGGCCATTGTCTTGCTCCTCTAGACTGGTGTCTACCTCGTCGCGGCCCTCTGGAGGCTCTGTGTCCTCGGCTAGGTGTGATCTCCGCCCACAGACTGCATATCCACATCGTCCGCCGCCTCTCGTTCAAGAGCTGCCTCCTCTTCTGCTTCAGGATCAGCTTCGGGGTCGGCTTCTCCCATCTGCTTCTGCTTCCGCCTCACCTTCTCCATCGTCAACGTCCATGGCTTCTGGAGAGGCTGGGCCACCATCCACTGCATCTGCATCTGCTTCGGCGGCAGCGGCCTCTTCCTCCTCCGCTGTGGCTTGCAGGGCATCTGTCTCCTCTTCCGCCTCCTCCTGATCTTCCTGTGGGTCTACGCTAACCGCTTCTGTGGCCTCTTGTGGCCGCTCATCCTCCTCTGCTGGCGGCTCCTCAACGGGCTGTGGCTCTTCGGCGGTTTGCTCCGCCTCCACGGGATCTGCGGGTGGACTGGCGGCCTTTTCCTGCGACTGGTTGTCATCGGCGTCTAAGGATCCCTCAGAGATTTGTTCGAAGTCATCCTCGGGCTCCTTGGCGGAGGAGTCCTCCGGTGGGGGTGGTTCGCTGACCTGGGCCACTGCATCTTCTGCTGGCGGGGATGCGGGAGTGTCTAATGTTTCTGTAGCCGCCGCTGGCTGTTCTTGATCTGGATCCTGTTGCTCCTGATCCTCTGGCCTTGGTGTGGCTGACTCCGGTCGCGCATTGGAATCGGCGCCGAATGAGTCTAGGCTGGATATCTCCTCCATATCTGTGTTCTTCTTCTGTTTCTTAACCGATTCTCGCTGTGCGCTTGTTTATATAGACATAAGAAAACTGCAAAAAACATCAAAGGGAAGAGAAAAAAACAAACAACAAATGGTTAGTGCATCGCGCCTATCGATAACAATCGCTGCGCGCGGACTATCGGCTGGCCAGGGCCTCACACCCTTGCCGCCTAAAATGTGTACACACACACGCACAGGCACACCGACGCACACACACACACTGGCCCACGGTACAGTGCACGAAAAAACAAAACATGCGCCTCCATAGGGGAAAAATGAGGAGAAAAAAGAACACAAGGAGCGTGTCTGTATGCGCCGATTGCCATTGCCTGGTAATTAATATCACTGCACTTGCATTATCTTTCTGGACGCGTTGCACCAACGGTTTTTCTTGCATTTATTTGGATGCGGATGCGATGCAATACTCCACACTCGAATCGGCAATTCCAATCCAACCGACGACGAGTTTCCAACGGCACGAGTTTTGTTGTGGAGAGCGCGTCTTTGGGGCCGCAATTAGCTGCCTTTCATCGCTGCGCGGGTGGCGGGCACATCACAAACGCTTAACGGTTCGCGCAAAACTTTTCACCAATTACCAAACACCTTTTTGCACTGTGCAATTTCTCGCTTTCGGCCACTGTGTGAATTTTTCGGCTTTATGCGAGAAAATGGCGCACCAGTGTACCAATGCGGCCCTCGCAATAACGCGTTTGTGTGGTCAGTCGGTATATACCAAGAAATATCGATAACAAGGCACTACATTGTGACGCAACCAAAATTGCAACGGGTTGCAGCTCTGGTCATTTGATTTTGAAAAATATGTCTGTCATGTCTTGTAATCTATATGTATATGTTTCTTTGTTATGTACGTTAAAATATTTCATTTTCAGTCAGCATAGGTATCCATCAACCTTTTATACCATCGGGACCTTGATTTTTCTGTAGCATAGGCATCCTGGAAACTTTTTTTCTATATATTACAGATCCAAAAAAAGTTAAAACTAGGAACTACATGGATTTTTATTGAACTATATCTTTCCGAAGGGTCAAAAATAAAGGAGAATTCAAACCTGTTTCTAATATTGCTTAATAAACCCCTCGGCATCCAAAAGGACACTGGGGAAATACTTGATTATCTTGGTAAAATGGGGAATTTCTGGGTGTTGGCAAAGGTGATCTCGTTGATCTCCTGGTACTGCTTTAATATGTTGATGAGATCATCCTGGGACACCAGTTCCGCCACCAACCAGTGCTGGATCACATAGTTCAAGGCGTACATTTGTAGATCCATGAGACTACGTTCCCTGGTCAATATCTCTCCTTTCTCCAAGATTTTCTATAAAGTAAAATAAATAGCTTTAAAGTATTTATTACCCACCTCCATGCAAATCCTTCCAGATCGGTAGGTTGTGCCGGAAAGCCAGGTCAAAAGCAGGAAAGATCCATCCAGAGGCCATTCCTGCTGCTTAAGCTTCTCGGAAAAGGATCGGAGGAGTTCCGGGATGTTGTAGGCGCAGGACAAGATGAATATATCCCCTACGAGATTAAGCTGAACCAGCGGCGAGGTCACCTCGAAGGTGTATATGAACTCCAGGAAGATCTCCACGCTCTCGGGGGAAACCCCATTGATCTGCAGTACTCCATTCCACTGTTTGTTTGGTACACATCCTGTTCCAGTTTGTCGGAAGCGGTTGCCAGAAATATCCGGTGGCAGCCGAACTTTTTGTAGCACACACTGGCCACCGGATCATTGGATGCGGGGCAGGTGCTCAGGACATGCACCTGGCAATCGGCGTCGGCCCCACTGCGAAATATCCAAACGCCGGCTCTTGCTCGTGGAGCGAATGTCTTCATCCTGGCTGGGCTTCCTGCTGGCGGCCCCAGAATCATCCGATGCCGTCCCCGATTCCACATTCGATGCAATGGTGGTTCGGGGACCAGGCAAGTCGTCCCCAAGCTTACTCGCTCGGGACTGCTGTCCTCGGATACTGGAACGTCCTCATCCTCGGGTACCTTTAGTATGCTTCCCTTTCTTGGAGAATAATTGATTGAATCCTGGACCGTGTTCCTTGGCGTCACTGCGCTACTATTTTCTGGAGAATAGTTAATTGAATCCTGGACCGTGTTCCTTGGCGTCACTGCGCTCCTATTTTCTGGAGAATAATTAATTGAGTCCTGGGCCGTGTTTCTCGGTGTCACTGCGTTCCCTTTTTCCACGAAATAGTCCACCGAATCCTGGACCGTGTTTCTCACGGTACCCGATTTTCCAGAAGAACGGTCCACCGAATCCTGAATTGTGTTCCTCTCCTTTGACGTGCTACTTTTTCCCGAAGAATTGTCAACCGAATCCTGAACCGTGTTCCTCTCCTTTGAGGTGCTACTTTTTCCCGTAGAATTGTTCACCGAATCCTGAACATTGTCCCTCTCTTTTGAGGTGTTACTTTTTCCTGAGGAAAGGGCCAGCGAGTCCTGAACAGTGTCCCTTCTTTTGAGGTGCTACTTTTTCCTGAGGAAAGGACCACCGATCCTGGACCGTGTTTTTGGCGTAACTGTGCTTTCTTTTGCCGAAGAATTTACCGAATCCTGGACCGTGTCCCTCTCCATCAAGGTGCTTCCTTTTCCCGAAGAGTGGTCCACCAAATCCTCAACCGTGTCCCTCGCCACCACTTCCTCCTCATCTTCCCAGTCGATGCTCACCGGAGAACTCTTGTTCCTGGTGCTTCCCTGGCGTTTTGCGCCGGGGCCCTCTTCCCCAGAGTCTGACATTCCTGCCAGGGAAACCCAATTTTGTATTCCAAATTGAGTATTATGTAAGTCTAGAGACAGCTCCCAAAAAATCCCCAGTCACTATGAACTGCAAACTACGTCGTCTGGATCTGCTCCGCAATGGCCAAAAGTCGGACTGTGAGCTCCATGTCTGGTATCCGGATAAGGCGGGCAAGGGCAAGCGCTGCCAGCGAATCTTCAAGTGCCACCAGGTAATGCTGGTCTCCGTCTCCGAGGAATTTGAGCGGCTGATCAGGGATCCCGAGTTCCAGAAGAACAAGGCAGTGATCACGTGGAGGACGCTCACCCACCGCCTACGAAGCCCTGCTCCTCTATATCTACACGTATGAGGTCTGTAATGCGGTCACCATCGATATGTGCGGTGACCTCATGTTCCTGGCCGAGAAATACAAGATGCTGGACTTCATAGAACGCTACATCGATAAATTGGCTAACCAGGAATGGCCATGGAGGTGGTTTTACAGGTCTTCCATCTGGCCAGTGAGCACAACCACCCGGAATTAATGGATCTTGTGTCGAAGGTGGGAAAATCATTACTTTGTTTTCTTTTCATTTTATTAATTTAAATCCCTTTCAGAAAATCCTACCCATAGCCACTCAAGTCACCAAGGACAAGTCGTTCCTCAAGTTAAGTGTCAAGGAGCTCAAGGCTCTTATGATAATCCTCAAAAAAGAAGGAGTCCTTTCGGATCACGAACTATTAGAGTCCCTGAAGTACTACCAGGAGGTGAACAACCTGCGCTACGACAACATGGAGCAGTTCCAGATTTTCGTGGAGGTGACCCAAATGTTCGACAATGTTCTCTTCGAGATAGATGGCTCCATAGTCGTGCCCGAAGAGGAGGAATATGTAACTCGGGAAATAGGCTCCGATACATCAATCTACAAGAAGTAATCTTGTAGAGAGTTTTACATGTCTAGAGGGATCATTTATTGAATGATAAGGGGAAACAAACATAATCGAATTCGGATCGGCTTATAGAATAAATACTACAGATAATATTAATACCCGACTTGGGCCGAGGCCGGTGCAACAAAATAATCTTACAAATCAGTTAACGGAAGCTGGTTGCCTGGAATCTGTAACCCTAGGAAGCCGTGCTCATGGGCATGCGCACTTCCAGCGGCACCATACCACATCGCCATCGCCATCGGCGTCCTCGTCAATTACCAGACTGCTTGGCTTGACGCTAAGGAAGTCGTCGCTGTCCAGCACCACGTCCTCATCGTCCCCGCTCTCGGAGAGCTCCCATCGTGCCCATCTTGTAGCCATTGTTTGGGGCTGCTCCTGTTCTTGGCAGGAAGTGGCTCCTCCTTCTGTTTCTCCTTTGTGTCGCCGCATCCGCATTGATCGCCAGTCCGGTGGTGTTGGTCTCAAACTTGCAGACCACCGCGATGCGCAGATTGACAATCAGAGAGTAGAGCTTCACGCCGGGCCCACCTTGAGCTTCAGGTACTTGTCCAGTTCATTTCGACCCAGCATGAGCAGGGCCCTACCATCGATGTCCTGTTCGAAGATAGTCCTGGCAATGTCCACGGAGTTTAGGGCGCGCTCTATGTATCGTACACATCCCAGTTCGTCCAGTGCAGCGGATTGGTGCGCACCTGATCCAAGTCGAAGGAGCTGTTCCGCTGCCAGAGGCGATAGTTTTGTAGGAACTGTGGTCCGTAGTCTTTCACAAAGGACTTGGCTATGGCTAGGGAACGCTCATCGGGAAGCTGCTCCGCATCCTTCTTCTGCTTTTTCACAACCTTCTCTTGACGTGGCGGCGACGTCTTTCGCTTGGCTTCCGCCTTAACTTCGGGCTTCTGCTGGGAAATCTCCGGCTGGACCTCATCCTTAATGGCAGGCTTGGCTTCCGAACTGGCTCGCTTTGGTTTCTTAGCCCATCCCCGCCTGATCTGTTCGGGCGCCACACGCGGTGGCTTCACCGTCTTGGAGCGCCATTGGCGCCAATTCTCCGGCGCATACGGACAGCAATCCCGCAGAGCATGGACATTGAGGTTGAAACGCTTGGCGTTGCCATAGCCACGACATCCCTCCACGTCGCAGGGCATCAGAGGCTTGGTCTGCAGATAGCCAGGCGGAGTCTCGAGGTCGTGCGAGGTGGCCTCACACCAGCCGATGGGATGCAGGTCCGGACTGTCGTCCTCCAGCCAGAAGTAGTACTCCGTTGGCCAGCAGTCCAGGTGAAGTTGAACGCGGTAGCCCTTCCGCGTCACCACTGTGGCCGGGCGAATCAGGCAGGGATTGCGCTGGTCCACCACCTCCAGCTTCATGCGCGCCTGGTACTCCATGGGCTGCGAGGTGTGAACAGCTCCTTCGAGGCAGCCGTTCCTCCGACCTCTGATATGTAGTCGTCCCAATTGAAGGCCGACTTCTGGCGCTCCGGCGGAACGATCAACTGCTGGCGACCCTCGTGCCAGCCGCATGGATGGATGTACGGTGAGCTGACGTGGACCCACAGGTCGTAGCAATCGTCCCAGCCATCGAAGTGGACGCGAATGCGCTCGTCCAGAATATCCGTTACTGTGGCCACACAGATCTTCCCCGTGTCGTTCAGATCCTCCGCCTCCAGATGCATGCCCACGGCGAATCCATTGCGAACTCCCGTCTGCGATTGCATGTTCAGGTGCGCAAAGAGCGCCCTCGGTGCCGCCTTTCCACCAGTCTTCACCAGGTAGCGACTCCAGCTGAAGCGCTCCGAGTTGTAATCCTTGGGCGCCTGCAGAACTCGGGCTGTCTCATCGCACCATCCAGGCGGAAAGATGTCCTGAGAGTCGGCATTCACCCAGAAGTCGTACATGGAGGAGTACCCATCGAAACTAAGCTTCAGCCGATAGCCACGCACATCCACAATGCTGCACACGCAGAATAGCGAGCAGTTCTCCGGATCGATAGCCTCCAGCTTCATGCCGCGCTCGAAACAATTGGGGCTGATGGGGAACGGGTTGAGGAAGAGGTGGATGGGCGCTGCCACATCCTTGCCCTTGGTTTTGAGGTACTCGCTCCAGCGGAAGGGTTTCCGAGCCTTCTCCTTGGAACGCTGCTGCAGCTGTTCCTGTATGGCAGCCAGAGATTTCGATTGGGACTTGTAATGGTTGGCCTGAGGCTTATGTTCTGGCACGCTTCCAGCTGTCTGGTCCCCTTGGGTGCGGCTCATCTTGCTATCCTTTTGGTTATTCTGCGGCAGACGACGTTTCTGGGCACGGCGCACACAGCCCACGGAGCAGTAATCTAAGGGATAAGAGAATATTTGATGATGATGATTTAAAATCCTTCGACAATCCATTCATTACTCACGTGGTGCCAGAAAGTCGGCGGCAGGTCCGTGGCAGTTGCAACGCTGGCATAGGTAGAGCAGTGGATGGATGCTTCCCGAGGGCCTTCTGCCAGGACGATCATAAAGAGCCCGCTCAAAATAAGCAGCTGGTCCTTGACGTGGCTGACACCGCTCATTTATCTGGAGCAGGTTGAACTGATTCAGCTCGAAACGGATCGTGGAGTTCTGCAAATTGGCCGGCTGCTGGCCTCGCCACTTCAGCATACCCAGGTTCTGGATCATGTTTTTCTTCAGCGAACTGGCCTTTGTGCCAGGAGGTGCGACCACATCATGGTCGTAGGATCTCTTGCCATTCTTCACAGATGGACGTGATTGCATTGGGTCGGCGATTTTAGGCGGCGATGGCGTGTCCGAAGTATTAGAGCCGCTCGAGGAGGCTGAAGAGGACGACTTGGGCGGAGTGCGTGGCAGCTGCTCATCACAGCGCAGGGAGCGCTCAAAGTCCTCCTTGGTCAGCGGCAGGGATTCCGCCTTTATGATGCTTATCCCCGGAAGTATACTCAGCTCTTCCTCGATTCTCTTGGCCGGAGGACTAATCTCCTCCACATCGCTGCTATTGGACGAGCTGCCGCTGGTACGGGAGGAGATTGTCGTCACAGAGGAGTTCTTTCTGACGGGTTTCGGCTTGGCAGCCGATCTGCTGGTGGTGGAAATGGTTATTCCTGCGGGCAAAACTGGCATTATGATCTCCTTCTGCTTGGGCTTCTCCTTTTTCTGCTTCTGCTGCTGCTGCTGTTGCTGCTGTTGCTGCTGCTGCTGCTGCTCCTCATCCTCCTCGCTCTCTTCGTCATCGTCTATGGTGATGGTCTCGATGGGAGCACTGGGCTGCTCGATCACATCCACCTCCTTAGCCATAATGGCCACCGAGTGGCGTCGCTCGTTGTTGGCCACTGGAGATGAGGGCTTGATGGCCACAAAGGACTTGGAGCGCTGCAGCTTGGGTGATTCCTTGGGCACAGCTGGCTGGGATGGTGGCGGTTCCTTGGCCACTGCCGGCTGTGACTGTGGTACTTCCTTGGCCATAGCTGGCTGGAGTGGCGGAGCTTCCTTTTTCTCTGATTTCTGCAGCTGGACAGGCTCCTTTGCCTCCTTAGTTGGACCATTCTGGGCTATCTCAACCGGTTTGGGAGTGGGCTTAGTTGTGGTTTTAGAAGTCGGCTTAGGAGTCGGCTTGGGAGTGGGCTTGGGAGTGGGCTTTGGTGTGGGCTTGGCCTTTTCCTCCTCCGTGGGTGTGGTGGCCTTTGCAACTGCCTGTAGAGTGGGCATATCCTGGCTGGGCAGCGGCACTGCCTTTATGGCCACCGGTTTGGACTTAATCAGGCTCATGTTGTTGTTGGTAGGCAGCTCCTCCGAAGCTATGGGCATGGCTTTAGCCGGAACAAGTGCCTTTAGCTGGCTAGGAGTATTGTTATTGTTGTTGTTGTTCTGGGAGGTCCTGGTCTTATCCTCGCCAGCGCTGTTTGCCATGGGCACCAGCTTCTTCACATGATTGGCCTTGTGGAGAACGAGGGAATTGGGATTGTTCTTCACCTGGTTGAACTTTAGACGCAGCTTGTCCACCGCCACCTTGCTGAGTATGTATGGCGCACGTGGCTTGAGGGGATTGGCCAGCAAGGAGATTTGTGCCGGACCCGTAGAACTGGGAATCTGGACAGGTGCTGTCAGTTGAAAAGAAAAAAAAACGAGAGAACACAGAGAGATACAAATTAGCAATGACTTTTCTTTAATTAGTCACCCGAAGGCGATCCAATACGATCCGATCCGATCCTCCACTGAACCCCCCGCCTATCCAAAAATCTTCTCCTCTTATTGCAGCTGCAAAAACCTGATCGTCATCATCACTGTCGTTTATGGTTTTTTTTGTTGTTTGTTCGTTGGCACCCCGCCTTTTGCATATTGCTATTGATAAACCAGCATATATAGGAAAAAGAGTAATCAATTCTTTTAAATTTTTTCCACTCAATCTTTGGTGTCTCTCACCCCTGTTAATACAGAATGGAACTCTATTTAGCTGAACTTACATCCGAAAATGGAAAATGGCACACGCACACGAACCCTATTAATTTGGTGTTATGAAATGTGCAGCAGTCGAACAACAACTAAAAACTAAACCCGCAGAGCAATGTGAACAACGAAAGTAAACTATAAAGATTGCCCCGCAAACACAGAAACACACACACGCACGCATACCTACACGGTTTAGTATTGCCCATTTCCCATTTTCCATTTTCCAGATTGCATTGGATATCGGGATCTCTTCTTGTTTGGGGAAACCCACTTTATAATAACTTATGTAACTTGGGAGGGGGAAACCCTACTCACCCGCTTGCAATTTCTGTGGAAGCTCTGTTTTGGCCACTAGCGTTATGGGTGCTCCTGCAGTGGTTCCTCCAGCTCCTGATCCTGACCCTATTGCTCCTGCTCCCAGGGGTGTCATGGTGGCCATGCCATTGCTATGAATGGTCAGGCTGTTTTTGTTCAAAGGTGTTCCGGAGCGAATCACCACTGGCTGGGGATTGGATGAAGTTCCTCCGAGCAGCGTGGTCTTGCGATTGGGTGCCAAAATAGCCACCAATGGCTGGCTGGGATTGCTGGCCGACGGAACTAGCTGGAACAGGGGAGCAGGTCCACCTGCGACACTGGAAGATCCTCCTCCTGCAGGGGTCTTTAAGATATTTGGCACAATGTTCACCGCCGTCAGTTTGGATTTCATGGGAGTATGGACATTGCTGATGGTGATGTTGCAGGTCTTGTTGCCGCCCATGGAGGCGAGGGGAGGAAGCGCAGCTCCTCCTTGCGCGGAGCCAGTGTGAGAAGGCTATTGCCGTTTCCGCCGGAGGCGGAGACGCCTCCATTGTGGGCAGAGGTTGCAGTTGCTCCTCCACTCGCGGGCGACACCGAGATGGACAACTCGCGCTGCAGCTGCTTGGCCTCCGCGGTGGCCAACGAAAGGGGCAGCATTTTCGATTTCCAATCTTATTATGTATCTTATTTTATTTTTTATTTTCAAAACGGAAATTGAGAATTTGTATTCTCCACCGTGTTTTCGCGTCTTTACAATTTTTGTACGTTGAGGCGCACAAAAGTTTTTGGCATTTTACACTCTGCACTGGAGTTAGTATTTTTTTTGTATTCCCCTCTGTCACTCAAATCTTTTTCGATTTGTCAGTTCCTTTATCGCTTCAATTGTGATTTATTTTCTCTTTTGACATTCGCTTTTTACGTTTTTCAAATTCACACTGCTTTTAAAGTTTTCGAATTAAATTTATTTTTTTCGCGCGTCTCGTGTGTATTTCTCTTCTTGATAATATACCAACTGGTGGTATTATTTAATGCGCAGATTGGCGAGTCTTTTTTAAATATTTACGGTTACTTCGGTTTGTTATTTTCCTGAAAAGGTGTTAAATTAGGTTTAATTTAGGTGTTTAAAGTGTTTTTTTTTAAATTGTTGTAAAACTTTTACAGTTTAGGGTTCTTAAAACCTTAACAGGTACCAGTTCTATTTAACTTTGTATGATAGTTATGAAAAACAAAGCCCCTTTTAAAACCAAACAGGAAATATATATCGAATAAACGATGTTAAATTCTATACTTAAGTTATTTACTTGTATTGCTAGATCTGTTTTATTATGTTTCTCTCCCCTTTTTGACAGTACCCCGCGACCATTCGGCGAATTTCCGTTGCCCACCTACGGTCACACTGAATACATATTGAAATTTTGATACCATTTTTAGTTATGCTGTACGAAGATTTATGTTATCTCAAAAATGACCTGCTCCTATTTTTAACCCCTAAGGGCTTTATATACCTGCAGACGACATTTTCGTTGACCCATTATGGCAATCCCCAATCCGATCTTCCTGGCCAATGTTACGTAGTGGCCAATCCAATGTCACAAGAACATTGTAAAACTCTTATCTTGGTTCGCGGATGAACACGGGCAGGGATTTATGTAGTCATAGTGCCAAAGGCTCTAGATTTTCCACTTTCTGAAAGCCTGGGCCTCCAGGTCCCAGAATCCAACTGTTGACTTACCCTCAAGAAGTTCCCTTTTGCCCGCGGAGCGAAATGTACAGCCTCGGAGGAGGCGGAAACCAGGATATAGTGGATACGCGATGCTGTCCGCTTGCAGGACACGTCTGAAATGACAGACCCACGGGATGTCAGGTCACGAATGTCAAATTAAGGGACATAAATACGCTTACCTGCTTTATCCGTTTGATTGAACCGAAATGTTGTTGCGAGGGTGTTAAATGCTCGTTCGACCTCGTAAATTTGTGGGCAAAAGCGAATGCTCACTGCCATGGGCGAAAAAACTAAACGATTCCCGCACACTTTTCACCAGGTTCATAGACTGAACTAATTAAGTCGGCGCTCGGGGAAATCCGCACTCCTTCCAAAACGGAAGTCCAGCAATATTAAAAACTGCAAAAGCATGTGAATGCGATGTGTGTATTTTAATTTCTATGATCGAACGGCTCAGGTGGCAACTCTGGTATCCGACCTGTGTGCGCCTGATGTCGGTTATTTTGAAAAGGCGGAAATAAAACGGCAGCAAATGGTTCTTTTAGACGGGTGTAACAGTTTGCGACTGAAAAGTTTTAAAGATAAGCTTAAAATGCTTAAATTATAACCACTACCAATTATCCTAGGTGTTTTAAGTTACCAAACAGCCTCACAGGGAAATAGCTTAAAACCTAGGAAAGGCGGTAACCTTTTTGTAATACTTACAAGGCAACATGTTTTTTGATTATAATATTAATGAAATTTTTAGTTATTCACTTACTAGCCAACTTTCTTTAAAATATTTGTTTAAAGATTACAAAATGCTGCTGCTTCTTCTTCACTTTAAACTTCGTTAGTGTTGCAAAGTGCGCCCCTTAAAAAAACAACGGCAGCGCCCGCAAACAGTGTTGCTTAACTTCGCAGTGGTAGTTTCTTTTTTCGTGTCAATTTGAGAAATTTGGCAAAAGTTAATTGAATAAAAGTTTTAAGCAATTGCAAGGGTATTTAAACACTGCCAGCCATGTCCCTGTTAAACAACGACGACAGCATTCCCAACATGGACGAGGATCCACAGGGTGAGTAAAATTCATAGGGTGTGGGTGGAGTCGAAAATGATGATGTTATCAATTGTTGTTCCTCTCCAAAAAAAACAAACAGTTGTTATTCCGGACGACGAGCCCTCGACGGCGGTTCGAATGCCCAATGGCAGATCCATGGACTCGCTGCGCTCCTCCTTCACCAACCGCAGCTCCACGCCGGATTCTTCGCACAATTCGCTGGAGGCCATGGAAATGGCCCAGGACGACCGGGAGGAGAAGGCCCGCCTCATCACACAGGTCCTGGAGCTGCAGAACACCTGGACGACCTGTCGCAACGCGTCGATTCCGTCAAGGAGGAGAATCTCAAGCTGCGTTCCGAGAATCAGGTGCTCGGCCAGTACATCGAAAACCTGATGTCCGCCTCCTCGGTGTTCCAGTCCACCAGTCCCAGTGCGGCCAAGAAGAAGTAATCTTCTGATAACCCACCAATCCATTGGAACTGGAAACCAAAAACCATCTCAAATATGCCTTCTCATTCACGCTAGAGCTATATTTTAATCTATAACACTCGAAATTAAGCTATTGCAATGTTGTTTCAGTTGCCCACTCGTCGAATTTGTCTTTGTTTAGGCTTAAGCTTATGGCGCGCTATGTATTTTATACATAAAAGTAATTTATTTATATAGATAATTAATAAATCAATAATATACCCCATCGCAATTAAAGGATTTAAAAACGGAAAAGGGCTGGCAACCCTGAACAGCCAGCTGTTCGTAGAAGTCGAGGAATAACACGTTCCGCAAAATAAATAGATAATATAAGTAAGAGTGCTTTATTTTATATGCACTAAATAAATGTATGTAGATAGATAATAAACAAAAAGAAACCCTAAAAATTAAGGTTTGAATTGGGGCTGCCACCTGTGCTACAGTCTGGCAGCCTTGGTCGGCCAGCTGTTCGTGTTGGTCGTGCAACAACAAATTCAGCAGCGAATTTCGTATTCGGAAAACGTAGAAAGCGTTTTAAAGTCCGTAGGCGCTGCTCGGAATTAATAGAAAACTGTCGGAAAACACAGAAAAAGTAAAGAAACATCGCGGGCCAGCACGAAAACAACTTAACCTGCAAGAAAAGTGATTGCGAAATACGCTGCAAGAGGTGCGTGTGTGTGTGTTTTGGTGCCTTTTGTGAAGGTGTGCGTGGGGAAAAACAAAACATTGGCCCCTTAATTGTTGTTGCTTAAGTTGTTTATTTAAGTGGGAAAATACCATTTTAGTAGCTATTGAAGAAAAACAAACAGTTCTTTGTTTTTGGAATGCTGTCTTTCATTCGCAGAGAAAAGCAACAACAACAGACGGTGGCCAGTGTTGTAAAGCGCCCCCGCACACAAGCACACGCTGCATTTATTATTTTTTAATATGCACTTTATTTTGAATGCCACCCATCACCACCCCCCCGTCAACCGCCCGCTCCACCCACGCATTTGCGTCAACAGAGGAAGCCAGACGTCATAATCGCATCGCTGGGGAACGCTGACAACGACGTCGACGTCGATTATTTTATGGCGGAAGCAGCCTCGTCAATCTGTTAACTGAAATACAGCTCCGGCTCCAAAAGGAACTCCATCCAATCCCCGCCAGCGAGGGCAGACGGCAACATGTTTTGACCTCCCACACGGCACAGCTGGAGCGCCCGCTGCTCTTCTCTGTTCCCCCTGGTCACCTCGTCATCCGTTTCAACGTCACACCAGCGCATCAGCCTCTCAAATCACGCACAACCAACAGCACACAAAACCATGTCCTTCTCCGACTTTGACGCCATCTACGAGGATGAGCAGCTGGACGATCTGGAGCACTTCCAGGACCAAACGGTGGCGCCCGTCCAGGAGCCCATCATCATTCGCGGCGCGGGCAACATGACGGTGTAAGTGGGCCTCCGGATTGGGGGCAGTAAACAAGCGATAAGGCTTACAAGTGGAAACCAGTTAGATAGAGCAGTTCGGTAGTGTAACCGCATTCCGAAAGACAATATCACATCGGCACTTTGCATGTGTCGATGGTGAATCATACAGACTTAACAACAGAAAGAAAAAAATTAAAAAAAAAAAAAAAAAAAAAAAAAAAAAAAAAAAAAAAAAAAAAAAAAAAAAAAAAAAAAAAAAAAAAAAAAAAAAAAAAAAAAAAAAAAAAAAAAAAAAAAAAAAAAACTTCCATGAAGAACTCTTTAATACATTCACTTAAGGGACTTTTGCACCCTGAAGAAAATAACACAAGAAACACCTCATACTATTTAAATTGATGATACTATTTCCCTGTAGCTAGGTGTGTTTTCCTAGCATCGATTATTGCAATGCTCTCTGTACATAGCTAAAATGTAGTTCAAGGTTACCTTTACCTAATTTGACATAGGCCCTACTTTGCTATTGATACCGCTTGACCCCATTTTTCGGGAAGGTGGCGTTGTGGCCCAGCTGTCAATTACACAGGTTGCATAAGAGATGAGTCAGGGCAGAATAATTGCACTGCACGCCAATTACCATACTAATTCATTTCCATTCACAGATTTGGCCTGAGCAACCGCTTCAATGCGGAGTTCCCCTGCGGTCTGCTGTCCCGAGTGGCTCCCGAGGAGTTCAAGGCGACGGTGGGCCGGATCAATGGAGTGCTGAAGAAATCCCTGCCCGTCAACGTCAAGTGGCTTTTTGCGGCTGCGTCTGCTGCTGCTGCACGCTCGGCTGCTCCCTCTGGCCCGTCATCTGTCTTAGCAAACGCGTAAGATTAATCTGAAAAGTTGCCAGATCTTGTAATCCTAACGTAATCCCTTGCAGACACAACTCACACTGGACAAGCTGTTCGAATGGGAGAATAATCATCTATATCATAAGCTGGGCCTGCACTGGCGACTGCATAAGCAACAATGTGATTCCAATTCCATGATGGAGTATGTTATTTTAATTGAATTTATACCCAAAACGCCTATCTATCGGCCCGACTAAGTGCCGGCCAGGGAGCGGGGCGTGGGCACGGTATCGCGGGGTCGTAATGGTAATTGTAAAATAAACACTAGCTGCTAACACTTTGCTTTAGGCGTTTACGGATCGTGCTAATCGGCAGCGAGTAGACAGAGAGTACACTAATCCATAGGACAGGCAGGCACAGCACACATTACCTAATTTAGTGCACTCGCAGATTGTCATTTTAAGCTAGTACTATTTAATGTTCGGTTTAAAACTAATTTTTGCAAAAACACTAGCCAGTAAGATTGATTTATCGTAACTTTAGGGCGCTCTACTTTCCCTGATTTTGTTTAGCTGTATATTCTAATTTGTTTTTCAATCTAACGCAATATTATTAAATACATTTCTTGATAGGAAATTACAATTTATTTACAAACCAAGTGTTTTATCTGAATGTTTTGATCCCCCTTCCCATCCCGTCAGAAATCGAATTTTGTTCTGTTATTGTACAAGGTACATATATATTTTGATATATATCATATGGTTACCTAAGTATTTTGTGGTTTCAATAACTTTACAGCACTTTGGGGCATAGACGGTCGATGAACAATAAATACATTTTAATTTACTTTAGGTTTCATTTATGTATTAATGCTTAAATATAATCAAGTCTTTTAACAATGCGCGGGTCTGGCTCTAGGAATATATATAGTATATATAGCTTAAGGAATGCGATTGGAATGAATCGGTATTAACAATGGTGTTTGTATTTTTGGGGTAATACTTGGAGATGTTGTAGGTCGTTGGGGAAAGCCAACTACTAATCTTCGCTAATGACTTCAACGTTGTTGGAGCCCTCGGTCATGGCCAGAGTGGACATTTCCAGGTCACTATCATCGCCGCCGTTTTCTTCATCATCATCGTCGTCGTCGTCGTCGTCTTCATCCTCTTCCTCATCGTTATCATCCTCATCATCTTCATCTTCTCCCATTGTTTCCTCCACATCATCATCACCTCCATCCTCTTCGCTTTCTGGAGCTTTCAGCTCGGTTTCTGGCTCAAATTGCATCTGAGTTTCGGGAATGACACCGTCCTTATCGTCGGGTTCCATTTTAGCTGCCTCTGAAGTTCCATTAACCAGTTCGTTGGCTGTTTTCAGCAACGCGTCCGTTTGCCTGCGCAGTGCCCGCATCACCATCGTGTCCTGCTTCATCTGGAAGTCATGCTCCCGCCGTGCATCTCCTTCTGCTGCACGAAGAAGTCCTGCAGCATCTCCTTTTGGGCCGACCGCATGGCAGTTGCCAATTGGCTGAGCTCCTTGGCGAAGAGCTCCTCTTGTCGCTTCTTGCGCTGCTTCGACTCCTCTTCGCTGGTCTTCTTTTTGCTTTCCTCGCTCGTCCCCGGCTGGGATCGGATGCCCTTCGGCGTCGACTCGTACATGTTGGAACTGCGCTGCAGCTTCACCGGCACAGGCATGCCCATGACCGGACTTTGACCCAGACGACGCTTCCGCGGCTGGAGCTGCTGGTGCTGTAGCGGTGTCAACTGGTGGGACGACATCATGTGAGCCTGTCTGCTGGTGGAGGCACCCGCTTGTTGCCCAGCCATCGGATACTTGGGCGGCGGACCGCGGCTCAAGAGAGCAGCCATTGGGGACGGCGACTGCGGGGGACTGGACACAGACTGATCAATGTCGGGGATCATGCGATCCGGCCGCAGAGAGTAGCCCGTATCCCGCATGGGCACCGTCTTCATGCGCATGCCCGTCGGCTGGACACTGATGTCCCTGGGCAGACGCAACCCCTGTTGGCTGGCATTCGGATTCTGCTTGCGCGGCAACATAAGCTTGCTGTGCGGATGCACAAAGTTAATGCTGCTGGTGCTCTGGAGCGGCACGGATCGACTCATCTGGCCCGGACTGGCCAACTGTTGGCCCATCTTCGTTAGTGTCGGCGGTGGGCGATCGATCTGCAGGATGCCATGCGTGGGTCGTCGCTGCTCGTCCTTGGCAAAGGAGGCCACACGCAGGGGAGGAGGAGCGACCGGCGTGGATGAGTAGACGCTCTCGTCGTCGGTCTCATCCAGCGCCACTGGAGGCGGCGACGGAGAGGCTGGCGCCGTGGGCGGCGGAGTGTTGGTGGTGTCCATGCCCAGGTCCATGTCGGGTTCGTGTTTCACAGATACTATAAACGGCATGTGAGGCACGTCCTCCTGCTCGGCGTTGTCCGCTTGGGAGCTCCCGGCCTCGTAGTCAAAGGCCTCCAGATCGGGTTCGGACACCATGTCCGGCTTCTGAGGCGTCTCATAACCTGAAAGGCAAAAAGAAGTTCGCATTCAATAATAAACATTTTATTGGGAATTTAACGTGTTATCGGTTCTAGGAAATCACGATACAAAATTCATCGACTAACCAAGGTTTTTTTCTACGGAAATCTATAAATACAAATGTTTCTGTTGTTTTTTTATCACATGTTATTTTAAGATTTTTAAGGCCTTTTTAGATAATTTGAAAGACCTAGTTATCAGCATTTCTTTAATAATAATATGACTCACGTCAGATTTATGAGTTTCTTGAACTTCATTTTCTGTAGTTTTGGTTTTTCAATGGTATTTGTATTTATAACACTATACTAACCTGTATCAATTGGCTCCGGTTTGATGGGTCCCAGTCGAAAGCCGAATATGGGATGCTCCACGCCGAGGATGTCCTCCTTATCGTCGCCAGCTGTCTTCGAACTGTCCATTGAGTTGCCGCACTCGCTGAGGCTGCCGTTGATATTGCCGCTGTGATTTGAGTCGCTTAGCATACGGCAGAGGACGCGGTAGACCTCCTCCGGCACTACCTTGGGTATACCCGTTCCGTGTCGCGTGGTGGTGTTGTACGTGGACTTGAGGAACTTCCACTTGGTCCAAATCTGGATGCTGGACTTCTTCACATAGCCCTTGCTGCGCATCACCTCCTCGATCTGCCGGAAGACGTGCTCGCTCTTCATGTTCCGGTCGTTTAGCTGCTCCAGGGCGTTCAGATTCTGCATGATGCTCAGCATCTCCAGCATTTCGGCCCGGCTCCACAGGTTGCGTTCCGGCCGAGAGCTCGAGCTGAGGGTTCGCTCTTGCCGGAACTGCTGGCGGAGTAGGGTGGCGACAAATGCGCCTTAATGCGCATGGGCGTCAGCAGTCCGTCGACATCGCCCACCACTCCGTTGCCCGTGGAGGCCGTGTGCAGGAGGTGGTTGATGTCCTGGCCGCTCGGCTGGCTCTGGATGTGACCTTGGCTCTGACGCATGTTGTGCTCCACTTTGCTCAGTAGCCGCATCTTCGTGTGGGCGGCCACCGTTGTCGGCGGGGAAGAGGAGCTACTGGGGGCTCCTGCAGGACCGTGGCTGCCAGACGACGAGGAGCTATCGTTCAGGCCCAGATAACGTGGCATTAACATGGATGTGACGTTGGTAGTTCACTCTTCCTGGAATTTGCAGTCCCTGCAACTGTGAAAAAAGGTGGGAAATATTCCGAAATTAGTTTTGAAAATATTCTTCGAAATCTTCACAAAATATTGAGAAATGGTTTGACATCCGAAGTCAAAACCAGTTTTGGAAAACTGCGAAATCGGTTCAGGTTTTAGACATCGGAACACTACATTGAAACTAAAGACTATCGCTAGGACAAATAATTCAAAAAATATGTAAGCTTTTTTTTGCAATAATTCCAAACATAGAGACCTTATACAAGTAGGACGATAACTTTATCTAGAACTGCCTAGAATGTCAATATCTGCCTGTATATTAAAAACGAACAGTTTACAGATAAATATTCTGTCGTACTTCCATAACTCAAAGATTCCACAGCTTGAACTTTTTGAATGGGAGATTGTGTTTGGAAATGGAATTTGGACTGCACGTTTATATGTCCTCTAAAAGTATGCTCAGATTTATTTCAAAACTCAAAACACAATGGTATAACTTGTTGTTATATAAATCTTGTAATGAAATAACAGGTGTTTCACTATAGGAAGTTATGACTGTTTTAAACCTAACAAAACATGTGGCATCCCTATTAGTTTCCAAAATGTCACTATCTTAGTGGTTTTAAACACTAATTTTGATTTTCCAATCAGAGTATCAGCTTCCCACTCGCCTTGGATACTAAACCCACCCGATATTCACTGGCAGCTTGTAAAAAAAAGAGATGGCTGTGTGCCAACGAGAAAAAATCCAGTTTTGGACTTTTTGTGTCAAAAGTGGCAATCGTGGATTCGGTTATCTTTCGGTTTTCGGTTTTCGTCTTCAGAATCCACCACCAACTTGATATTGACTGTCATATACACATTTGCTTGTGTGAAGTTGACGTGTTTCCAACTGTTTAACACATTCCAAAACCGAAACCCATGAAAAGTGGCAGCACACCGACACGCTCACCGTAGGCAAATATACACGAAAAGAGCTTACAAATCTAAACCGAGGAAATATATATATTTTTTATCGATTTTGATTATTTCAAAACGAATAATGGCCGCAAAAAGAAAACGTAAAAAACACACTCTCCCGCACACAGATACACTGACAAAGTGAAGCGAGGCAAGTGGAACACACTCAATAACAGAACATTTTCGAGATAGTGATTTCCAAATGCAAGTAAACAAGATAGCGTTGAATAAAGCGTAGGAATACGAATTTTAAGAAGCGATTACGCATCGTACAATTGAGAAAGTTACGCATGGAATGAAGAACGAATAATGAATGAAGTGGGGGATAAATATAATGTTTAGGTTTCGGTTTCGGGTTCGGATTCCCGAGCGGCGGGTTGAAACTAGAATTGAATCTCAAAATTTGAGTAATTTTCCAGCGACGTCTCAAGATTGGCACAGTGGTCGGGGGTTGTTTGAACAAACGATTTTGAGAATGATATATCATATCATATCATACCACATGTCTTCCAAAGAGGGTTTTTCAGAAAACACCGCTCAATTAACTAATACATTCCGGAATTGCACTCTAACCGCGATATACCAGAGCGGAAATGTAATTGCCAACTTAATTTAAATCTACTCTGAGCACTGTAATGCAAAAGATACGATAATAAGCTGATAGAGGTATAGGATGAGGATTGGTGAGGGGGAGGGGAGGGGGGATGTATTTCTGTGAGAGCAAACCAATTCTGTTTTGCGCTCAGAGAGCTCGGCTCACCCACACACACGCACGAAAGAGACACTCACGAATTTACGCTTATTATGTGCAGTTGAGAATTTTTCAAGAAAAAGAACATAACGTAACTTTCGACTTTTCTTTGAAACTGAATTGTGTCCATTGACAAATGACTTGACGTACTTTTCACTAATCAGTTAATGGCAAGTGCTGTTATTTTAATGCACATGCCAGCCAATAAGTTTAAAATAATTCGACTTGACTTGAACTATTTCATTTCCAAAGCAACACCTTGCAAACACACTCACACACACGTACACTTACCAGAGAGAGCGGCGCGAGAGACAGCAGTGAAATGACAGAGAGAGAGAGAGCCGAATCAACCGTTTTTAAGCGTTCGAAATTTGAGGCAGACCGTCGCCTTTAACGACGATTTCAATACTAATTTCAAAACTCGAAAAAGCGACGAACGGGCCTACAAAAACCCAACTATATACACTTATAGGCGGTCACCTGGGGCTGTGTGCGTGTGCGCTTCGGCGTTATGTACGTACATACATCTATATATTCGTATTCGGAAGGTACAAATAATGGTTATGGTCGCTAGTTGTTTTTGAGATTGCGAGAGATTGCCGGAGAGACAGTTGCCTATTATTTTTTATTTTGCTTTTTCTTCTTTCGCTGCCATTTACGTTTTTATTTCGCTCTTTTTTTAAGAACGGGGTTATTTCGGGGAATATATAAATTTATGGGTTCGCGCACACACATACAAAAACAACAGAAAAGCTACAGTTTTAATGTAGTATACACATGTTGAAATCGAGTATAATGATTTTTCAAGTTCTGTATTTCGCTTGTTCACTGCCATTCACTATTAAAATGAAATGATGAAGAGCAAACAGAAAGATTCTGATTATCTTTATTTTTATGATAAAGATTATCTTTAGCTCAGGAAAGTTGGTCTCTCATGTGTCGAATCGAATTCGAAAGTGTTGAGCAAATGTCAATACAGTTTTAAACCCGTTTGTGGGGCACCATAAAAATTGTAGGTTGACAGATTTTTTTGTTTACCATATTTAAGAATAAATGTACATATGGAATAAAAAATAAATGTTATAAACATTTTTATACCCAAAGTAAATATACTTTTGGCACCCAGTTTAAGTAAGGCGAACGTAAACAATCGCTCCAAACTGTTAAAACATGTTTTCTTCTGTAATAAGCTGTGATATCAAATTACATTGATATTAAATTTCAGAGTTCTGGTCATCGAGTGTCTACTGTAAAACCGATACGATGTGGTAAACAATATTTCTGCTTAACCCTGTGGGTATGTTTTTGGGAATCCTTGATACAGGTGAGAAACTACCCCTTTTCGGAAAACAATACCCATGTACAACAGTATATTGGTGACCTGCTGAATACTTGTTAAAAAATAGATTTCCATTTAGAGCTTCACTTCCTTTAAGTTTTCGGGCGGCAGATGCTCAGAAACTAGATTTACAAGTATTGAGCGGAAAGAGCGTGCTGCGGGGAACTTGGAGGTTTTCGAACTCGAAGCCAGAACAGGAAAAACTCTAGCTCTTCTCCATGGATGAGAATGGATACGCGGCAGAGGCGCTGGGAAAACGCGGAAAACATTCTTATTTAGCATCTGCACAAATTACGCATCGCACGAGTTCGAAGGGAAATTCCGCACGATTTATCTGCATTATATAGCAAATAAATGAATGGAAAGCCAATACAACGCTTTCAAGCAATGAAATGTAGAACACAAACACAAGCCTTATGTCTTTATCGTATCGAACTTTGAATAAATAGTTCTGATTAATTGAAAGGAACAAAGTCTTAAAACACACTTACTCGCAAAAATTAAAGCAGCTGCTTTGAAATTTACTCTTAACTTAAGAGGCAGGATTTATATTTTTGTAGTTTTAGGATTTCTCTTACTGGGATTTTATTTAATAGGAACACTGCATTCTTAAACATTAGATCCTCGTCCAACGGCAACATCTTCTTGTAATTTGGAATTTAAAATCAAATAATAAATTCATTGTTGTAAAAGTAACAAATAAATATTAAAAAGTGTCTGCATCAGTCAGTTTTTTTTAGCTCGTAATTTAGTTTTCAAAATATTATATTCTAAAAGATTAATGCCTATATTTGTTGGTCCGTTTTAATTTATTTTTCGTATCAAGTTGGATTATATAGGAGCGTTTTCATTCAATGACTTAAAAGGTAAAAAAATACTTAAACCATATTAAAATTGTAACATCAACAATTAAAAACTATTTTCCTAATCCTTACAACTTTAATTTTTCAGTTAAAATATTGAAAATATAATCAGTAACGGTTGTCTAATTCAAAGTTTTGATAGCCTACCTATCGATAATAGCGCAATCATCGCAGTTCGATTAGTCAGCCCTGGTGGTCTAGAAAAAGAGTTGGCATCCCTTTTTACAAACATACACTAGAAAAAGTAGGGTTGTGAAAATATTCAAAAAATATCGTATCGATAATATATAATTTTTTTCAAAAACATCAACTTCAACTCAACTAACTGTTTGCACTTATCAACCTAAAATGGTCCGAAACAACAATAAAATAATTCACTCTGTCTCAATCAAGAAATTCACTAACATAACATTTTTAGGAAAATTGACATGCACAAACATGAAAAAAATAACGTCAAAATAACACACAAAAACGAAATTTCGCGGCAAACACACAAGTGCACGCGCACATGCAATTGCATTTACCTTTGTGTACCTTAACTAAGCGTCGTGGTGCGTATTTTTTAAGAGCGACAACTAATTTGACTAGAGAGCGCTCATTTTGATTCATTTCGCAAAATGCAGACTGCCGCATTACTTATTATTTGCGAATCAAAATCTCGCGGCGCGCTCATCTTGTACTTTTGTTAATTCGTTACAGATCAGTGTGACCAATAAGGAAATATCAAAAATATATATAAAAAATACCGACATTTGGTATATCAGGGGGAAAAATATCACGTTATAAATATATATTCTTATTCAAAAAATACCGATATATTACATCCCTAATACATACACTTGAAAAAAAGTTGTGGAGCTCTCGCGAGAGGTATTGGCATGTCGGAGTCTCCCAAAAAACGTTCAAAAATAGGTCCAAGCGACTGTCTGTCCTACCTGCAGGTGCGTTGGGTGTTCCTATTGACTCAGATCTAACCGATTCCTGGTTTTCCAGAGCCTGGGAGATGTACTTCCCGAGGACGCCGCCCTTCAGCTGGCCCAAAGAATTCGGGCGGAGGAGGATGAGGCGGCCCAGATGGACACGTGCGGCGGCGCCAACCAAGCCGCCCTAAACATTAGTTTCCGGGTGTACTACCACATAGTGCACAAGTACGAGCTGCAGGACTCGCACTTTGAAGATCTCCCCCAGCGTTGACCAGCGAGCAGCCCACTGCCTTTTTGATGCTCCAGTCTGTGCTTCTCACCGACCACTGGAAGCGTTTGGATTCGGTGCAGCTGGAGGAGAAGTGCACCACTGCATTATTGAAGCTCTGCGACTGAACAGTCCCAGTCTGATGGCCGTGCTCAAGGCCACCAACCTGCTGGTGAAGAAGTTCCCCGAGCTGCAGCTCATGCCCCTGCGCTTGGAGCACTTTTACCACTGCCTGCAGCGCCAGACTCAAACGGGATCCCGCGAGGAGACCCTGACGCTATACAACCACTGCTGCAAACAGCGGGAAAGGGCCTTCTCCTACTTTCGCCTGATTGTCGAGTTTTGGCCGTGGACAAATCGCAATAAATACTACCTCCTAAGCGGCGCCCTTAACTCACATCCTCTGCCGGATCTCCTAGCCGCCACCAATCAAAGCGAAGAGGAGTTCCTCAATGGACTGAGGCTGAGCTTAAGCTACAAAGGACTGCGGGCAGCCAGCCAGTATCCGGTGAAAAGCCTGAGCAATCAGCGTTCTCCGGCTTTGCTCGCCGCCAGCGTGGAGCTGCTTCTTAACGGCACTGTGGCCGAGATCCAGAACTTTCACTCCCAGTGGTTCCTGCGGATCCAGCAGCGCGACATGTTGTTCGAGCTGCTACAGGCCAATCCCCAGATAGTGGAGTTTCTGGCCTCCTCCGAGGAGGTGAGGTCGCCGGGCGATCAGCTGCGTCTGATCCTCATCTTCAGCATGTTTGCCAAAGAGATATATGCTGCCTCCAAGTTGCACTTTTTCAAGATCAGCACAGAGCTGCTGACCAATTGCAGCCAAATGGAGACGGAGGCCCAGCTGTTGGTGTTTCGATTTATGGTCGACAACCTGGGAAACTTTGCCGTCGAGGACTGCCTGGACTTTTTCCACACCTTTGTAGAGCGACATCGTGGTCTGGAGAGCTCGGAATTTCGGAACACGATGCTGGGCAAGATGCCCACGATTATCAACCACACGGCCAAGCATTTCCATAAGGTGCTCAAGGCAGACAGCGGCGTTGGAGGTGATGCCTTGGCGCAGAACATCAAGCGATTCTTCTCGCATCTGCAGAATCTGATCGAGCGGGACATACACAGTGAGGTTTACCAACCGAAGATCTTTGCCCTGAAGTTGTTGGAGATTCTTAATCGATCGCTGTATGCCGAACAGGTAGCCAAGAATGCGAAGATGTGTAGTCCCCAACAGAATCAACGGATGGGAATATTCCTCCTGGAGCATGGGGTCTTTCGACCAAAGGACATGGCGCAAAAGCTCTTCGAAACCCTCAACAATCCGCAAGGTTTCGATGATGCTTTGGACTTGACCGTTTCCCTGCTGATTCAAATGGGCCATGTGGACACTGAAAAGTGCGTGAAGCGTTGTGTGGACTTGTGCTTAACCTCAGATGTGGATGAGTGCTCACTGGTTTCACTTTACGCGCAGTTGGCAGTTACAAAGGAGAAGTCTGGAAGAAAGATATTTGATGAATGCCTGAAACGGCTTGCGGACAAACTGGATTCGTTCTTCGACGATCCCTTGCTAACTGCCAAGAGTGGTGGGCATCTCTTTGGCTATCTTCGCGGACTGGATGAGGTGGTCAAGGCTGGCCTTTCAGTGGATTCCCTGCTGGAGGACTTGTTGCCACTGCTGGAACGCATACTTGGCGGCATTTTAAAGTTTCTCAACTTGGCCAATGCCCGACGACAGGAAGAGGCAGCCACTGCTGCTAGTTTCCAGGACATGGACGAGAGTCTCCAGCTGCTGGTCAGCGAGAGCTCCTTCAAGTCCGTTGGCGAGGAGGAAGCCTGTCGGAAGTACTTGCTTATGAGCTTCTGGCTGACTTTGAAGGTGGGTGAAGAAAACTCTTAGTATTAAAGAAACTGATTAATCGATTATACTTTCATAGGGCTGCTGCGATCTGGCCACCAGCATAGGGTGTTCATACTTAAAGCCACTGCCAAAACAGTAAACTCAGAGGCTCTCCGTCGTTGCCTCGACATCAATGTATCTGTCTTGACGCTTTGCCGCCACAAAGGAGCCATCGAGGCTGCTGGCCTTAGTATAGGTAGACTAACTCGTGCCATCACCAGCAGCTTGGAGAGCGGCGATGCTGGTTTCCAAATGCTGCACGATTGTCTGGAGCGGGAACTGCTGACTGAGAGCCGCCAGGTAAGCACCACACGTCGTGGTGCTGGCTTCGCCATAATGTTCTTGCACGTGCTGAAGAACGACAATCCACGGCAGCGTCTGCTCCTTCATCGTGCTGTGCAGCAAATCCTACAGAGGCTAAATGGAGATCGTTCGGCGGAGAGTGTTTCCCTGGATAGCAATCACGATCGCTTGGAAGCCTTAGTTCTGCATTATTTGTGCGTTTTGGTGCGCGACACCGAATTGAGGCCGGCGATGAGCAAGTACTACAATGAGATTCTGTTGGTGGCCATGGAGCACATCACCAATCCCGAGTGGACCATCTCGAATGCTGCACTCCAGCTTTTGGCGCCAATTTGGGCAAACTGGTGGGCCAGCGACAAGCCACTGAGTTTGAAACGCGCCCCGCTTGGGAACCCAGTGAACTGGACTACGATGAATTGGGATGTCTGCTGCCCAAGGCATGCGAGCACATGCTAGAGTGCTGCGACCGCCAGGAGGTGACCTCGTCTATTATACTCTTTCTTGCATTCCTATCCAAGGTGGAGCACTTGCGCACCTCGGGTGGCAAGGAGCCAAATCCCCTGCTGCTCAGGTTCCGGCGACTAAGCTGGCGCTTGCTGCGGCACAAGTGCGATCAGGTGCGTCAACTGGCTGCCACCTGTTTTGTTCGATCGCACGAGTTCCGCTGCGATCTGCCGGCGGCGCTGCTGGCCAGCGCCAAATTGGCGGCTAATCTTGAGGAGGAGAACTTCTACGAAGGACTGATCTACACCCTGACATCGGGGGTGTTAAAACTTCAACATGAAGCTCGACATGTTTGGAGTGCTGGGCGTTTGGAGAAATTCCTTGCAGAGCTTCTCACATCACTAGACGTCACGGAGCGAGTGCGTCGCTTCAAGCCGTACACACGGAACGTGCTTTTGGAACTGCTAAAGCTTCTGGGTAGCGCGGATAAAGAGGCTCTGGTCGAGTCCCTCGACTAACATTAGCGAATTTAGTTTTATCTAATCTAACATTAAGCCAAAAAGTAATCTTTCCTTGTCAACGCTTTTACAACTATTCAAATGACGCATTTAATGTTTGTACGCAGTAAACGAAACGAAAGTATCTACCAAACAGGGATTTCTAAAATAACAAATGAGAGGATGGACTAACCGCTCGATCAGCTGAAGCCTTCGCCAGTTTCCTGTTCCATGGCCTGGAGCTGCTGTTTCTCGAGGGCCTCTTGCGCCATTTGCTGCATGGTGCGACTGAGGATGTTGCGCAGGATGTGCGGCTTGCAGTGCTCCTCCAGCCAGGGTATGATGCCGGTGGTCAGCTGTTAAGTTGTCCATGGGTATGTGCTTGAATGTCTCGAACATTTCCTCCATGATGGCCTGGAACTAAGGGAGAAATTATTATCTAGAGATCTGAAAAATGAATAACATTTGCTGACCACTTGGAACTTGGCCTCATCGGTGAGGCGTGCCTCCTCTGGGCCCGGATTCGCCTGCTGATGTTGCAGCATGTTCTCGTAGCCATTCTTGATGATCCGCAGGGCTGTCACCTCTTCTGCAGGGCCGATCCCTCGTCCTCTTGCTTGAGCTTCTGCTGGTTGAGGTAGCCAATGTACTCAATGGACTTCTGCAGGATCAGGCCTTGCTAAGCTTGTAGCCGGAGGAGTCGTTGGGCTGGCAGCGTGGCACCAGCTCCTGCAGGCTGTCGTATCCCTTCTTAATGGCGTCCCGCCGCTTCTGCTCGGCTGTGTGTGTGCCTCCCGCCGCCGCTCCTTGTAGCTCAGCGTGGAATTGGCCGCCGTCGAGTGGCGCGCATCGCCGCTATCGTCGTCGTCGTCTGCGGACCGAACAGAACAGTACCAGAAACGTGAGACGCAGTCGCACAGACAGTACAATGTAATAAAACGCTGCTGATAGCGAGTAATTCAATGCCAGTGCTTTATCAGCTGCCCCAACTCCCACTCCTGGTCAGCGTGACCGATCTTGACCAGCGTGCGCTTACCTGAATTGTGCGCCGAGGAGTTCGGCGTGTGGGTGCTGCCCGCACTGCTGCAGCGCGAGTAGTGCTTGCTGCTCAGATCCTGGTCGTGCTCCATGCTAAAGACGTCCTCTTTTATGCCCGACGAGCTATTATTATCGCTCATTGTCAACTGCGACGTTGTGGAATTCCCAAAACAAAAACACCAGCGGACGGAGTGACCGTTCGGGGTTGCGCGAAAAGCTATACTTCGGTCACACTAAAGCGTTTTGCGATAGTTTTAAGAAATATTTTTTAAAGATTAAAGTAAGGAAAACTTTTTCCAACTCAAGATAACTTTTGTGAGAAGATAATTCGTTTTAAACTTGTATATTAATTTTAAATATAGCCATCTACTATTTTTGTGCAGTGATAGTAAATGAAGTGATAGTGAAACTGAAGTGATATGATTGTCTCTCTTATTTCCCCTATATATCTATAAAAACATATTAGAGTAATTAAAAAAACATTAAAACTTTTTCTGTTGCAGAGTGTAAGAGATGGCCATAGTCAAAATCCAACCGATAGTTATATCGATATTTCTGTCATACCGGCTCCGATGATGACTTTTGCGTTTTTTTCTGGTTGAACTTTGCCGTCGTGTCGCTTTCTTCGGGGATATTGCTTACAATAAGCAGGTTTTTGGGCTATAATTTGTGATCGGCGGACGCACTAGGAATTAATCATGGGTCTGCTGTACGCGCTGCGCGTGAGGATCATGAACTTCATGATTTTCTTCCTCATCATCATCCTAATCCCCGGCCTGCCGCCGCGCACCACCTTCCATTCAAGGAATATGTGTAAGTAGTTCCCCATTCCCATTGACGTAATTCACGCGGCTTAATCCTTGGAGATATCCCCCCGCCCCTGTAGTGTGACCCCGCCCAAGGACCTGAAGGGCGCCCTGGAGCAGAACTTTCACCTGGACGGCGCCGAGCGACTGTGGAGGGGCGTGTCTACGGCCCGAGTGCCTGATAGCCCGCAACAACGAGATCTACACCGGCATCCATGGCGGTGAGGTCATCAAGCTAACCGCCAGCCATGTCACGCATGTCACCAAGATCGGCCAGCCCTGCGGTGGGTATGGGAGTCCCTAAAAGAAGTACTTTCTATAATCTTAATCCCCTTTTCAGAGGACATCTATGAGGAGTCCCGGTGCGGTCGTCCTTTGGGACTGGCCTTTGATACGCAGGGCAACAACCTCATCATCGCCGACGCCTACTACGGCCTCTGGCAGGTGGATCTGGGCACCAACAAGAAGACCCTGCTGGTCTCTCCCGCCCAGGAGCTCGCCGGAAAGTCCATCAACCGTCCCGCCAAGATTTTCAACGGCCTCACGGTCAGCAAACAGGGCGACATCTACTGGACGGACTCCTCGTCGGACTTCACCATCGAAGATCTCGTCTTTGCCAGCTTTGCTAACCCCTCGGGCCGGTGAGTTCATCGCGAACTATAGCGTAACCTCTCTAACTGTCTAGTAGTGCCAGATTTGAAAGCGGTGGCGATTAGGTATAGAGGGCTACAGTAGACCCTCTTTAGTCTGAATTTCTAAATCTTCAGATTTAGCAAGGTCAATTGAAGGTATTCAGAATTACTCCATCTTTTGATCTACAAAAGCTTACGAAGCACTAAGGGTTCTATTGTAAACACTCAATTATCTTTAATGAAGATTTATTTTAACTACCTTCCATTAGATAAGCTTGTTTACATATCAATTAAAAACTTGGGTAGTCTAGCCTAGGTTCGACTGTAAGATGGGAAAACCGGTTTCTCGTCGGGTTAATGGTCACTCTAACGGTCCCTGCTTTCTTCTCCCTTTCAGTCTCTTCAAATACGACCGCACGAAGAATGTGAGCGACGTGCTGCTCGACGAACTGGTCTTTGCCAACGGCCTGGCTCTAGCCCCAACGAGGACTTTATCGTGGTTGCCGAGACGGGAGCCCTGCGTTGACCAAGTATCACCTGAAGGGAGTGAAGGCCGGCCAGAGCGAGGTGTTCGTTGATGGACTGCCCGGTTTGCCAGACAACCTGACGCCCGACGCCGAGGGCATCTGGGTGCCGCTGGTCGTAAGCTCCGACAGCGAACATCCCAATGGTTTCACCCTGTTCACACGCTTCCCCAGCGTGCGTCTGTTCCTGGCACGCGTGCTGGCCCTGTTCGAGCTGCCCTTCCGCTACCTGAACAGCGTCTACCCGAACAAGTTCTCGCAGCGATTCGTCCATTTCGTAGGTCACATGGAGAGCATCAGTGTGCTGGCGCCCAAGCGCACTACGGTGGTGCGCGTGGACTGGAACGGCAACATTGTTGGCTCCCTGCACGGCTTTGACAAGTCGCCTCTTCAGTTTCGCACGTCTGGAGTTCCAGGACTTCCTTTCCTGGGCTCGCCCACCAATCAGTACCTGGCACGCGTGAAGTCGCCAAAGGCCAAGCAGCCCACGCTCAAGGTGCGCAATGTTCGCGTCGAAGGCGATGGTATGGAGGCGTCTATCGGTGTGCCACCCAGCACAACCACTCCTAAGCCCAAGGCGGCGCCCACCACAACACGCCAAAACCCACGACGACAACGACCACACCAAAACCCACTACAACGACGACTACAAAGAAACCAACAACCACCACCACCACCACTACAACCACCACAACCACTCCTAAGCCAACCACCACGAAGCCGCCGACAACTAAGCCACCTACGACTACTCCTAAGCCAGCAACTACGACAACTCCCAAGCCAGAAACGACTACAACTCCCAAGCCATCAAAACCGACCACCAAGCGCATAGTGCCAGAGAAACCCGCGCCCGTCGAGGAGGAGATTCCCTCGGACACCAAGCCCCCGAAGAAGGAGAAGCTCAAGGTCATCAACAAGCAGGGCGTCAACGTGGAGTTCTAAGATCGCAGCTACAGCAGTAAACCTCCTGAGTTTATCGGGGATATTCCCAGACCGAGATTAGTTTCTTCACGTAGTCAAAACCCATTCTGTTTATTATCTTTACCCTCCAGCATCTCAACTATTATTGGGGAATATCCAGAACTTTTTTTATTTATCATGCCCCCAAACTCAGGCTAAAAAAGGCCAGTTAATTTTAGTCGAAATGTAGCTAAATTCTGACTAGCCGGGGATGCCTAGCTCAGATGATCCTCTAAGGGCAGCGCTTTATATGTTTAGATTTTGCATATAATTCGGTTTTGCTTAATCACTATAACATTCCATTTCCTTTCCCAACCGGAAGTGCATTCCATCTAGCTAAGTTTAAAGTAAACAATGCCACTAAATTGTTGAACGCGAGCAACTTTTGATTTTGTACTGATTTTTTCTTATTTTCATTAAAAATAAAGGTATTTTGTAAAAATAGACCTAAGCGTAATGAGGTTTGGTTGTCTTAGAATAGCATTAAATTAGGACTAGCCATTGGCTAACATAACTAGTTGGTGGACACCGATTGGCTGATCTTGGCTCGGCTTGACGGCTCCTTGGGATCCGTCCAGGCCCAGTCGGCATAGTGGACGCAGCGACCCAGTTCCTCGGAGTACAGCTGCGACTTGGGACAGCGCTGGAGACGAGCGGGCGTGCCCTGCTTCTCGCACACCCAGTAGGCCGTTGGGTCCCAGTAGTTCCTGAACATGCGGTTCATCTCGTCCAGACCCCGGCAGCTGGGTTCGCCATTGTGCTCGTGGGCTTGGCGCTTCTGGATGGGCAGATGGGCTGATGCGGTGGCCATTTCTTCAATGATTTGGTTTTGGGGGTGCTGAAAACGAAACCGGAACCGGGTGTTAGTCCACGATGACTGTGCGTGATCGACCCATGAATTCACAATATTTCTTGGCAAGGTCTTTGTCCCACATATTTGACTGAATTGAATTTCCCTTTTCTCTTACCTTGTGCTATTTCTTGGTTGTCTCTCGTTTTTATTAACGATTGGCAGCCTGTTGCTCGCTGTTGCTGAGTTATTTCACTTCTGATTTGTCATACCGAATCATTTCCCACTTAAATACCATTCCGCGGGACGACGTCGACGTCGCCGTCCGCTGCTCGGGGATAGATAGCGTTAGAAATGTCTGGTTCGAGGGCCGAATCCGATTCCCATTCCTACATACGTAGCGTTGTCGGGCAACGAGCAATTTTTATCTTGTATGAAGCCCACAAATTTGCACTGCCCGCGGAAAACTGAATCGCCTTGATCTTGTGGCACCCCACGGGTGGTTGGGGCTGTGGGGGTGGTGTTTAAGACCGAACGCCCGGCCATGTGTCACGTGTAGCCTTCGTGGTCTGGGGAGTACTCCCAGCGAGAGTTAAACACATCGACACACAGACTGCCATATATTTCGCACAAAAAACGAGCGGAAACATTTGGAGAAAGAATTAGGTAAGAAGCTCTCAGGCTGAAACCGCTTAGGCACTGAAAAAAATCTATCAATATGGTATAGTTTATATGGGCACTTTAGGCACTTAAAATAAAAATCTTAAGCTAGATTTCAAATAGCCAGTAAAGCTATTATATTATCTTTAATGGAATGGTATATTATTTTAAAATCGGATGCACTGAAAAAATTTAGTGTAATTAAATTAGAAGAGTTTAATTTTTGTATCTTAATTTTATTTTTCGTATGGTAAATGGTACATTTTTTTAAAATGCTTTTTTTCCCAATCTGCAAATTATAAGTACCGATATATTATTATTAGCACAGTGTTTTTAAAATGTAATAGTATTTGAAAAAATGTAGATATTACATGATGTTAAAGTCCCTTACGTAGAATGTCAAATTTCGCTAAATATTTTTTTCAGTAACTAACTATGGTATTTGTAATTGCAATTTTTTTCCTCTGTGTATTCAAGTAGATTTTTTTTGCTTATGTTTCTCTTCCTGTATTCCAAGGGCTAAGGTCAGAGGCCCCTAGTGTCTTTGGAGTAATGACGCCATAGGAAAATGTCAACAAATGCATATAGTTAGCACACACTAGAATCAGTCAATAAACCCCAGCAATCCGGTAATTGGAGGTTTAGCGCATAGACAGCCTCTAGTATCACCCGATCACGCATCCGCCATGTGGCGCGATGACGAGCCCCTCTATTTTATAGCCTAGTCAGTAACTTTCCCCTCAGTGGGAGGCACACATCCATCTTCGTGTGTCACCTCTTCGCGATAAACGAACAATTGCCAACGACTCTTTATCACCTAACGAGGTAATCTGCTAAGTCCCAGACGTTAAAAAGACTCCGGTGTCGTAGGCGTGTAAGACCAATTATTGATTGGCGAACGTTATTCACGTGATCACCCGGTGGCTGGCGCTCATATGAATTTCTTTTTGAGCCCCAAATGGAGTCGAAATAAACTGGAAATAGTCGGCAGTCTGGCGATTATATGCGCACGAGGGCAGCTGGTGGTCAAAGTCGCCGGGGCCTCCGGAGCACGAGCTTTCATGCCGGTCTGGCGATCAAGACGTGCCCGATGTGAGGTATGTCCATAAAAAAAACTCACGATCGCGTGGGGGAACGCCACTAAACTCCAGAGGGAATAATTCCTACATGAGTCTAAATTATTGCGAAACTACCGATGTGCTATCTCAAGAGTTTCAGCAGGGGAATTTTTCATAATCACTATCAACTTATTAAGAAATTTGCAAAATGTCTCTATAAAGTCTTATCAAAAGTACCTAACATTAGACCATTAGTTCGGCACTGAGCTCTAATAAAATTCTATCCGAAATATTTCGGGCCACAATCTCTGTCAATAAATTATCATAAAAAGTGTAACTTTCTATGGACTTTGGTAAATTTGTCACATACCTCCAAAGGGATAATTTCACAATTACCATTTAAAATTGCTAAAAATTAAATCAAACTGGTAGTCTCATTAAAACTTGAATTTCAAATGGAATGATTCCAGTTCGTCATGAGGAATATTTATAAAGTGTCATTAAAGACAATTGTTTTTAGACAAGTGCGTCACTGAACTCCAGAGGGAATATTCCATACAACATTTCGGCTAGACGTTGTCTACATTTTCTACAAGTAAAGATGCTAGAGGCTATCTATATATTCTCACCCACAATTTATTTTCAAATGACCTTTAAATGAGACGTCACGATGAGAAGGCGAAATTATTTTAGCACTATTCAATAAGAACCCACTTTCTCATTCATTTTTTGTGGTTTTATTGGGATAGGTTAGATATATTTTTAGTGAGATAAATACATATTTCTTATATAATAATATTCATAATGTTGTATAGATATAAAACTGACTGTAACCAGTTAACAGTGCTTTTTTACGCCCACGATATTTTTATAATATGCTTGAAGAATTTCTCAAACTTGTTCGTCGATTTCGTGTGTTTTACTTCACATGGCAACAGGCAACCAGTTCGGCACATGATTTCGGAATCATTAGATAAGCAATACTTTTGCGTTTCGTCACCATGTCGCCCGGAAGCACGTGAGTTGCGCGTCCATCGATGTGCTGAAAGTTATAAATATCTACTAATTGATTAGTCATATATGCGTATATCGTGGAATTGTGGGGCTTTCTCGCCTCTCGAGCGTTGAGTAGTTTGTGGAATGACGTAGAGTTTAATAGGCGTATTTATCTGCGGTGGGGAATACAATAGAATTGAATCGATTCTCAGTGATTTCTTAGTTATAAAAACTATTATTGCCCATTTATGGCTGCAGCAGGAGAGCCACGCCCCCCAGGATCCATCTCGAGGGTCGTTCGCGTGTTTTTAGGTTAAAGGTCCACACATAAGTATTGCCCCGCGACCTGAAAGGACCAAAGAGCCGTCAGTCAATTAGCAAAGAAGGCAGACAAAGGAGTGGGCGGGAGTGCAGCATCTTGGGGAATGTCCACCCACCTGGTCTTGTACAAAGGACACTCGTAGACGCGCTGCAGCTCCTGCTTCTCCTGGACAATGGACTTGATGTAGATGACGGGCATGGCGCAGAGCATCTCCTTGGGACGCAGGGTCACAATGGAGTTCAGCTGACAGTCCCAGCTGGCGCCATCCATGTACAGGTCGTGGACAAAGGCGCCCTCCATGGGCGGCAGGCTGTTCGGAAAAGGGGGAGGTCAAAGGGTCGGAATGACAAATAAACAATTGAGATAAAAAGAGCTTTCTTAAGCTATCTGCAATTTAAAATTGCTCTTTTAAGGAAAAAGAATCCAAACTTTACGAAAAGTTTACAAATAGCATCTTTAGTTTAGAATACTGTAAAGTAGATATTGAAAATCGCAAGGCGAGACTGTCATATTCATATCAATAAAAATTTATACGGAATTACATCAGATAGAATATTAATTCATAAGAATTTTTACCAGTGCATTTAAACTTAAGTATATTTTAAGTCAGGTTCTATAGTACTGTCTTAGGTTTTTTAAGTAGGTTAGGCTCCTTACGTGACATCGTCCTTTGCTTTTTAGTAACATCGCAGCTGATTAGCATCCTGTCCAGTGGCAGGTCATGTTTCCGGGCACTCTCCTGCATGATGGCGGTGAGAAAGCTCTGGGGATTGAATAGTCCACCCAGCCAGATGGCACAGGGCAGCTTGAAGTCATTAAGCCAGCCGGCCAGCTCCTTGATGCGGTGCAGCAGATCCGCGAACCAGGACTGCAGGCCCAACATGCTGGGATAGGCCAGGCGAGCCCAAGCCTCAGGCACATGATCGTAGAAGATGGCGTGGTCCAGTCGCTCCATCTCCTGGGTGATGGTGAGTTCGCCCCTCAGTCCCAGCATCAGTTCTCGAAGGGATCGTTTGATTTCCCTAATCAAAGCGTTCATCCTTTCGCATTCCTGCAGAGCGACGACCACAAAGGGCGTCTTGCGCTCCACACGATTGAGCAGAGCCTGAGATTGAACTCATCCTGTAGTTTATCCAGGAAGTCGTCTATCATGATCTTGACCAGCTCCTCCCGCGGTGCTCCGCAGTGGGAGCTTAACTCCGACTCCCTTGGTTGCAACTCAAAGATTGTGCGCAGCAGCTGCTCGGAGGCGGTGGTCAGGAAACCAATCTCTGCATTTGGATGCAGACCGTACAGCAGTGGACTCTCCTCTGGCAGCATTTCCGTGATATACGAGTGATAGCCCTCAAAGTCGAGATTCGGAGGAGCTGGAAACCCGGACACAGCTCGAAGTCACCATCGATGAGGTCTTGCTGGAGGAGCTCCTCCAGATAAGTTTGGCATAGCCGGCGATCCCAGTCGTCCGTGATGTGACCACCGTACATAATCTCGCCGAAGAGATAGCGAAGATCCTCCCAGGGAATCCGATTGCTGCCCTCCAGATAGTTGTGCAGGACATTGGACGAGATGGTGAGGTCTCCAATATTAAATGGGTACACCTTGTTCCATCCCTGAGGTCCGAATTTGCGTCTCTCGCCAGCAACCGCATGGAAATAGCAGAGGGCAAAAAGGATTGACTTAAACTCCGCTCCTGGGTGCAGTTTCCAAAGCGTCCTGGGAAAAGTTGTCCCATGCCTTGTGCAGATTGGCGCCATTCCGGATGGAGGTTCATTGACCACCTATAGAAAAACAATTTATTTGCTTTACGGCCGTTTTCTAAAGGTCTAGTTTGCTGTACTTACCTTCAGTGAGGACTCGAGTATACCCTGTGGAATCACATGGTACTGTGGATCTGGAGCAGGTTCGGCGCTGATGAAAAGCCTGAAACTGGATTCGCCCTGCGTCTCGCTCTGCAGTACAATCTTTTCGATGAGCTTCTCTAGCGTGGGCAGCCAGTTGACCACCAGGTGGATATTTTGCAGAATCACCCATTGCTGACCGGAGGCAAGGCTTGTATGATAGCCTGCTCGGCAAGGAGTTCTTGTCCCTGTCCTAATGAGATATTGACCAGGGTATCAGATTCCGAATGGAAACCCTGTTTTTGCCCATAACGCTCCACATCTCGAATGGGATCCACTCCTGGTGAGAGAATGAAAAACGCAGGGGTGGCTGCATTCAGCTCCTGGAAGATGGCTCCAAAGGGAGGGTCTGGATTTCAGCATACGAACGACCCATCGTTTGCTCAACAAACTGCCGCATGCATAGGTCATGCGATCTGGTCTTAGGGAACGGATGATGCACAATTTCTGGAGTGGAGTTCGGTGCTTCCACTCCCCTGGAAACTGCTCCTTTCGGGGTATCACTGGCCATAAACTTTCGCCAACGCTTCGTATAGTTCTCCATGTCCTTGTCAATTCCGTAAAAGTGTTCTATCAGTGTAAAGACTTAATTCCTCCCCAAGCACTGCGACTTACGAAATCCAAGGGCGAAAGGGTGCTGGGATCGTGGGGAAAGCGCAGCAGAAAGTCAGTTTCATCCTTGGCCACCTGCTCAGCGGCTATAAGAATCCTTAAGGTCATGTGCGACGTGAAGGTCAGCTTGTCCGCCTCGAAAAGTCCCCTTAAAGTATACGATATGTCTGCAGGGTTATGGAATCCACCAGATGAAGCACCCGTCGCTCGTAATTTTTGGATTCCGAGGCCAATGCAATGGCCTGTCGAAAAACATGCATAAAGGACTTTAGCGAAAACTTATAGATGGGATTTATGCGACTCAAATCTGTTAGTACAAAGTACAAAATGGCAGCTCTTTTGGCAGCCGATCTATAAATGTTCCTGGTATCATCGATCTGCAGAGTTGTAACCCTCGCCTCTCTAACTTTCGCTTCTATTTCGTCCACAGTTTTCTTTGTGTTTTCTAAATTTAACACCAATGCATGATCGTCCAGGACATTTTCACCTGATGAAGCCAACCTGGCTAGCAGTTCATCTTCGAGAGCTTTCAGGGATATCTTGAACTTGTTCTGCTGCACCAGTGACCTCCGTTTTCATCTGTTCCAGATCGGGTCTTTCTATTTTAACCACCTCTGCTAGCAGCTGCTCCTCCAGACCATCTGGCGTTACTGTAAAGTTAATCAAAGTGGTCTGCGCCTGCATTTCCGGTTTGTAGTGCGGATTGGCCATTTTGGTGTGCAGAATGAGCCGGAAACTGGAATGAAACTCGATTTCCTTGTCGCCAATGCGCAAAAAGCGACCTTTTTTGATTAGAGCCCTGCTGAGAAGGGGTTCTAAAACAGTGTCCATTGTTTCCTCAATCTGCTCGATGAGAACGGTTTCACCCTGCGAGATGCTCTTCTCCAGGGCCTCTAGAAAACCCTTTTGTCTCAGCCGTAAAACCACTAATGAGGTACCAAAACGGTTCTTGATCCATTTGATGCCCTGACTGGAATAAAACTTCAGATTTTAGTAATTCATATTAATATTACCAAACTTACAGTTGCGGATCAATCATCAGTGGCCATCGGGTGGAGTATTGCAAAATAGTGGCATTCTCCGTGGACATTCGATCCATGGGAAGACCCTCGTTGTTCCAGGCGGCTATTTGGGCATCATCCGAGAAAAGGCCAGGGTATCACGCCCTCGGTGTGGGGAATGTGCGGCTGTTTAACCAGAACCAGAACCAGCTTAAGTTCCCAACTTGGAATAGTGAAAGTGCCCCTCCACTTACATCGATTTTGCGAAAGTTGGGCAGCCACATCTTGTGCTGCAGCTCCTCACGATAGCGGCGCGTAAAGCAGCCCACGTACGACAGGAACGAGGAAATTAGCAGGATATCTCCGGGCAGGGTACCAATCTTGGCTTGCAGGCTATGGAGCGGCAGAAAAAGAGGCAATAAAAAAGGATACACAGCGAAAAATGATCAAGATAAAGGTATACATAATACGTAGAATATGCTCATGACTTTTACATTAACAATGTTAAATAGACATTGAAAAATTTAAATTTTCTTCGAAATACTGAAAATTGAAAATGAGAGGGAAGGGAAAAAACGACTTAAATCTTATAATTGAGAACAAATATTCCTTTTTTACTTTTCGAAAATACTAAATTGGTTTGGTATTTTATGAAAACAAGTAGAACTTATCATTTTTATTATCGGTGTAAAGTAGGTGGTAATCTCCCGCTTTTGATGCTAACAAATCGTATAAATTACAGCAGCAGCAGGATGCTAAAGGTTGCAGCATCCTCTGCAGCCTTGTTCTTCTTGCATTTAAATTTAAATGAGGGGAAATTGAAAAAATAATGATGTCGAAGGAGGAAGTAGCAAGTAGTTGTTGCTGCTGTAGCCGCTTTTGTTGCTGACATTCCTGTTGAAAGGGGTGGTCTTAAAGGCGGGCTGCTGTTCAAGTGGTTGCATAAATTATCGGAAATTGCTGCATGCCAACTCTTATTGAAATATTTGAGCTTATTATGGCAAAGCCCCCTGGGGTTGCACTGTTGGGTTTTGGATTTTCATCCAATAGAAAGGACAACTTTTTGCTTTGCTTACTTGAGCTATTTTCAATTAGTAATCTGCTGCTATGCCCTCTTCTCCGCCAGACGCACTTAAAACTCAAAACGACAATGATTTATGCTCATTTATATGCACATTCATATGTTTAAAAGCGATTCTATGTAATTGTATAATCTAATAATTGCTCTCGAAGCAGAGTCCTAGGAATGCAAATGGAAGAGGGTTTCAAACTGGCCACACAGAATGGAAAGACCCCCCAAGAATCCTAGAAAAACACACATCATACCATTAACAATGGCCGCACATTGATCGATTTTGAAATCATCAAATCCCCCTCCTGCCAAAGTATTCAAATGGACGCTCCTGGCTGCCAGTTATGTGGCATAATTGTTTTTGCAGAATATATTGTGTTGAATTTTGGTGAAATACCTGTCAGGTGGCATAAGAGCATTCTCATTTAAAACAGATAGTATTTTTCGAAGGCAGCCCGACCATGCCAACTATAACAACAATAAGTTGGCAAACAAATGCGTGTATCCTGCAGGATTCTCGTGTGTGTGTAATGTCATTGTCAAATATGCAGAAATTTATATGCAAGTCAGAGCGGCTTACACACACACCTGTCCTGAAAAAGGGGCGCCTTATCACCCATCACCACCACCCACAAAAGGTACAAACAATTTGCTGTTGTGGGTCAAATTATATTTTCATAAATATTTGAACAATTCTCACTGGCAAAGTCGGACATGGGGAAACCAGTCCAGAATCCAAAAGGCTGTTGCTCCTTTGCCAGTGCATTCAATGTCCAAAGGTAACCCCCTCTCCTCCACAACGAACATAAATTACCATCCAACAGAGTTGGGAAATTTTTCATTTTTCGTAATTCAATACGTATTTCATATGCATTTATATTCCGGCTCCGGATCCCCCGGCGATTTAGCTGCTGACGCTGCCCATTTGTGGGGTTTCGCACAGGTTCGTGTGTTCTGCAGATGTTTAGGTGCGAAAAATTCAGTACTTTACCGCCCCAAAACCCCCAACATCATCATCACATCATCATCGATGGACGCCCTTTACGGATTTTCTTTTGGCTTGCACGCGCACTCAATTGAATTTCAATGAATGCAGCCCAGTCAATGGGCAGCCAAAGGTGTCGGAGTGCTCTGCGTGTTGTACTACACTATATGTATATACACATAGTACCTACATACCGACCCGAATTGCCATTGACATCTATATGAATTTGATTAAGTTTTTTGCCCAAATGCTTATTGCATGTGGCCTGATGGTTTATATAATTGATAGCTGGGAACCCCCATTGCTTTCAATGGGATATTCAGGATATTCATGACCTCAAAAGGGTGAATTTTCATTAGTTTCCCATTCAGCTGCCATTAAAACGTAAAGTTTTTGGCACTAGTTTTCGTGATTATTGCTAATTTACTCTTTGAATTTGAATAGTAAATTCTAACTAGATTTTGGGGAAATGATGATGTCACCTGGTGAAGCTTTGTGTATCGAGAGTCGTAATATTAGCTTTGGTCTCACATTGCATGTTTTCCCATTCAATTTTGTTATATTTGATTTTGCTTTCGATTAGAGATGAAACAAAATGTTGATATATATCCTTGAAGCAAGTTAAATTAGTAATGGGTTGAAAACAAATTATCGAGTTATAGTCATATATAGGTAAAACCAAAATTTCCATGCTTTTTGGTATATTAAATTTACAGAGAACATAAAAGCTAAGAATGTTACAAAAAAAAAGAAAATAAAATTTGCTATTTCTCAAGGTTTTGTATTCTTTATGTATTGTACATGAAAAGTTCGTTTAGTTTTGTTCAAGTAAAAACCAGAAATGATGCAGTAATATTTAAAGTCTTTAGCTTAGCTTGGTTTGAATGTTATTCAGCACTATACAAATGTAGAAATATATGATTCTTGTCTTAAATTACTAAATAAATTTATTTTTCCATTATTATACAGATTGACAACACTTTTTACCTCAGGCTCAATAAATACATCTCAGCGATAAGAGTAAATTCTCCATATGACATGCATGAAAACATGTTGCATACCTTGAGGCGCTTAAATATATCATGTAAATTTTGCAGCCTTCAACGACTGCAGCTATGATGCTTATACGTAATCCATAGGGAGATGCCATTGCCATTACCCCTTGGTTCCATCACGTCCTTCAAAATCCTAATAGGCTTTGCCTCCTCCTCCTCACACGCCGCTTTTCCTGCTTTCTTCTGGTTTCATCCTTTTTCCCCCATCACCTTCCACCCATTGTGTCAACTTTCACACTTGTCAACTGCAATTGTTGGCTTGTTAGGCAGCTGCCTTGCACCTTGGCTCGACATTTTCGTGGCTCACGTCACCAGGAGAAGGAACACTAGGAACAGGACGAGCAGGAGCAGCAACAGATGGGATTAGCCCCAACCTTCAGAGCCACTCGGTATGACAAGTTTGCATACCCGTATTTGGAGTACGTGCCTCCGGTTCGAAGCTGCTTAAATGCATTTCGGTTAACTGCCAATGATTTTTGCAAATTGCCGCCGGTGCTCCTGGCGGTTCATTGCCTTCCGATGAGTGCGCAATCGAGTGAATGAGCCGGGTTCGGGGACCTCGCAGTCCTGTGCGCCAAATGGGAGCGAGTAAATAAAATTTACGGCCTTTTGTTGCCGCGGTGGCCCGCAAGTAAGCGGAATTCGCGTGCACTTCAGGAAAAATATCACTAACGATTTTATAGTGCTTATAAAAAATACAAATTAAAAAGTATCACACCGAAATAAAAAATATGATGGATTTTAAATTGCTTAAGGAATAATAACCCTAATAGTCTTCCCCCATATTCATATGGTTTTTTGGGTATCCTTGGTTATATAATATATTTAATGGATATTTCTGCATATATCTCGATTTAATTTAGTTACTATTTTTCCAATTACAATATTATTATATCATTTTTTTAAGTGCATAAACCCCTCTCCATCCCCTTTCAGAAGTGGCAGGCGAGGCAATTACAGCTATGGCGGACGCACACAGAATGTAAATTAAATTTAATAATTGATTACGCATAAATGCAGTGCACCGACCACTGAGGACCGCACCAACACCGCCGTAGGACTCACCTCTGGACGGACTCCTTCCAGCGGACATTCTCGTTGGCCAGCCCATTGACCAGCCGGTGGGCCAGGTCGATGGTGAAGGAGGTCTTGTCCGCCTCCCGTTGGCATCTCTGCTTCTCGGCCACCGCGTTTTCGAATTCCGCCTGAATCTCGGCCAGCTTGGCCTCCAGATTGTTGATCTTACCCTTGAGGTATTGCAGCCGTTCTCTGGCCTCCAGCACTCCTGATGCGAGTCCTGCAAAGCCTGCTGTTTTGGTCCCACGATCAGAAAGACCTGATGGTACCGATGGAGGTTAATAACCCAGGCACACAGGCCAGCAGCAGCCACCGACTTTTGCACCACTTTATCGGATTGAACTCGGGTCCTTAAATGACAATATCATCAACATTAACATAGAGTAAAGCCGGTTTTACTTTACTTTCAGATATTCCTGTAGCGTTTCAATGATATTAGGGTGTATATTATCTTTGTTGTAGTTCAGCAGATCGTTGAGGAACTGATCCACCCGAACCATCATTAGTTTGGAGGCCTTCCAGCTGCGATCTCTGGGATCTTTCCATTACTGGCCACAAAACCATGACGCAGCACACACATTTACCACCGCCTTGGGTGGCGAACCAAAGGATTTCAGTTCTGTTAGGTTGTTTTTATTAGAGTATTCAGGGCGCTTGGGCAGCCACCAGGGCGGGTTCCGCCTGCCGAAGATCCTCCTCGCACATCTTGGTCTTGATGGAGACATCCTCCTCGATGATCCGCACCCGTTTTCTTCCTCGGAGGCATGTACCTTTCCCGCTTCACCTTTTCACTTTCGGCACTACAATCACAATCAGTTTGTCTGCCGCCGCGTTTTTGGCCGCCAGCTGAACCTCTTGGATGGCAGTTGTGCTGCGGGTGGAATTAGAAAAACCGCTAAATTACGTCTATTGAAACTCAAAGCCAAAATCAAAGTGTGCTGGAAACTTTCACCGGGGCCGGGCGAAAATAATTAAAGCCACGGCACGATGGCTCAATATTTACGCAGAGGAACTTTTGCGCCAAATTGCGGAAACATCAATACAAATACAAGTGAATTTATGTGCCAGGAAAAGCAGAGATGGGAGAAAACTAATGAGTTCTTAGAATATTTCCAATTTTAAGATTAAAAAAATATATTAACCTAAAAAAAATGAGTTGCTTATATGACCAAATAAATATACTATAAAAGAGGCTACTTTATAATTTTTCCCTACATTTAATAATATTATAATCAATTTTTGAAATTATTATTTTCTGTTATTATAGTGGTCTAGAAAATGTATTCCTTAAACAATCCCTCACTCTATCTTCAGATAAAACCCCATCACTAAAAAGCCGTGTTGATGTGAAACTGGAGTTAAAACTGGCGGGTTGAGGACCCACCGGCGTTTGGGAAAACTGAAACGGCTTTTGTTGGCTGAAACGAATTCAATTTAATTCAATTAGTTTAAATAACATTTGGCCTGCTACCTCACACTCGCGACTGGTCGTTGTTTAGCGCCGCGGAACAAGTTCGATGCCGTGGGGCCCACACTGCGTATACGCAACGTAACCGGAAACGACGCTTAAAAACTCAAAGAACGGCAGAGCGGCCTTCCGCTTCTCCGGTTTCCGCCATTGATGTTGCCGGCGTTGAACAAGTGGACCAGGACAGCAGATTTGCTGCAACAACAATTTAATTAAGCGCACTAATTGAATGGCCGACGCGTCGCCAGCGGATCGAATGGCAGTGTACTATTGAATTGGAAGCTGATGCCCAATGATGATCGATTTTGCGGGCACCCCGCGTTCGTGTTTAATTAATATTTGATAGCAGACAGACACAATTTTTAACTCTGCCGAGATTGTAATACTTTTCTTGTTTTTTTGCCTACTGCAAGGGATATTATGTGAGGCTCTACATTTAAGGAAAAAATACTGGTCGTGCAGAGAGGGAAAATATGGCAATGAAAAATTGCAAAAAATTGAAAAACAAATTATATTGGGTATGGAATTGTTTGGAAGATATTAAAGTCTTAATTTTATGGGTGCATAAGGTATACTACATTTTGTAAATTTTGTTTACATATCATATTATTTTAATATGTTTAATCTACATTTTGCTTCAGTACTTTCATATACTTTCTGTAACTTTTGCTTGGTTAATTTCATTGTTGTTTTTCCCATATTCTAATTTACTCTACCAAAGTTTTCTTACAGTGCATTAACTCCCGCGAACCGTACTCACCACATGCACATTTCATTCTCATATGCCATATGGTCACCATGCCGGTGGTCCACTCCATCATTTACTCACCTTCAGCGTGTCCACCTGACGGGCGCACTCCGCCAGCTTGGACATTCCGCTCTGCAGACGAGCGATGCGCTCCGCGAACTCGCCGTTTTTGTCCACCAACAGTTTGCGGTAGAGGAAAATGTATTCGAGAAAAGTTTTCGGGGTCGTGTAGTTGTAGCGTTTTTCATTCTGCAGATAAATTCTCGATATCTGATTCACGGTGCCGTGGACGTAAGCCATAAAGCAACCGATGGGCGGCACCAGTGCGGGCTGCATGGAAATTTTGGGTGGGCGAGATGGGAAATGGGACATGGGTCAGGTCAGTCTGCTGTCGTCCTGCTGCCGGGGACTTAAAGTGTCCGGCGTGACGGTTTGCAGTTGTAAATTGTGCCCGACAGACGCATAAATAAAGGGTGCGGGAAACCAATACACTTGGAAAAAATAGCATTATATTTTAAAAGTAAATAATAAAACGTAAATCAGACTTTGAAACAATTTTTAAGAATTTGGAGTATTTCATTTAAAATGTCGGGTAACACAAAATTCTATGATTTAAAATCCTTTTAAAGGTGCTTTAAAGTATGCACAAATATTAATCATTTTAATGCATGCTTTTAGCACATTTATGTTTAATTTATTTTAATTTCAAAAATTCTTATGTAATATATTTCAAAATTTAGTAGGATTATTTTAATAATTTTTTTGTAGTGTACTAACCTCTAGTATGCCGCTGATTTCGTTGAGGAACTTCTGGGAAACGGACTCCAGGGCGCTTTTGGGCCACTCGTGGAACCAGTCGATGGCGGTCCGACTGATGATGGCCGGAAATTTGCGAGCCCGAACCCGTAGCGTCTGACCCACTGGCGAAAAGCACAGCACCACTTTCAGGAGTCGCCTAACCTTCTCCACAAAGTACCGCCAACAGTTCTCCTTGGTGTCCAGCGTACCGCTCTGCTTCACCTCGTTGCGAATTCCATTTGTAATCGTGTCCAGCTGGTCATCGTTGAAGAGCTCGGGTATCTCACCGGAGGCCAGAGATCATTAATCAGCATCAGTACAGATTCATCGGGAATCTGTGCATCCGAATGAGGAAAACGGAGGCCAGTTTTTAAGGCCCACCTTCATGTAAAGGCTGCCGATTTCCTCTCGCATATCTAATAGACCAAATCCTCGCTTAATTTGGATTTGTGAGACATTTAGCGAGGATATGAAGGCAGCCAAACGGGCCAAAGTTTGCTTGCCAGAACCTCCAACTCCTATAAGTAAGGCATTTCCCCGAGGACTCTCCAGATGCGATTAATACTGGGAGTAAGAATATTAAAATTATAAAAATAAATTATTTTGTTTTTACTTACCGACACACGTGTATCATGGCATCTTCGAAAGGACGAGATTCATGTAGCCCACCACTTCATTATAACTTGCCTGAGCCTCTATAAGCAGTTGATAAAGTGAGTCCCAGCTTTTCAAGGGCATATATTTCTGGTCCACCAGTGACTGGGCAAAATGGCTGTATATAAGAGGTTCTGCAAACACAAAGTCCTCGTCAAAGTCTTCAAAATCCTTCTTGAATATATCTCTAATGGAGGATTTAAAAGATTTGATATCATAGGGATCCACCAAGCGATCGTGATAGACCCGAAAGGCCTCGTGCACGTAAAGCCGCATAAGTTCAGAGGGTCTGCCGCAGATGGTTCCTCCATAACCGGATGCACCTCCTCCACCCGCCGCTGCCGGAGCACCCACGCTGTTCATGAGACCTTGGTATATCCCGGTGAGATCCCTCAGATTAAAAAGGTAGTGGAACTTGAGGGCTGTCGGAAGAAAGGCATACTCCACTCTTCGATGAAGGGCAATACCCACTTTTACCAGCAGACTTCCAATGAACGAATCTCCTTGCTAAAACCCTGGGCGGGACTCTCCAGGTGACTACTTAATATGCTTCCGTAGATGTGGTGAAGGGTATCCTCACTCGGAGGAGCCACTGAGAAGACACAGAAGTGCCGCTGCAATCGTGGGTCGATGGTAAAGGAGCCAGCGGTGGGATTCATGCAGGCTGCAAACTGGCAGTGCCGAATGTCCTTCAGCTGCAGCCGCTGGCGGTCGTACCTGGTCAGGAGAGGACTCCTCTGAATCACCAATCCCTGAGTTGATAGCTCACTCACCATTGCCTGTAGTCCATGAACTGTCGCATAATCGTGTGCGGTTGAACGGTGCCATAGGCATCCACCTCCGGCATGTTCAAATCGTTGACAAAGTAGATGAGCCGTCGCTTTGGGCCACTTGGAGCATAGCAGCGCCCCGACTTCTTCTCCAGCGGACGGTCGAGCATCTTCTGGAATATCTCCGAGCTGGTGTAGAAGTTAAAGTGCGTGGCCTGGACGGTGGTCAGCAGAGGGGTCGCCGAAGAGGAGGTCTTGCGCCGCACAACCCCGGAGGATCCTGAAGGATTCACCAACTGCTGCTGCTGCTGATGGCTGTCACTTGTTAACGCTACCGCCGTTGACACGGCCACTTCGAGGAGCTCCTGGTCACTGGCATACTGACCGAACAGCTCACGGAAGATGGCACCCTTGCCACAGCCCGAGTTCCCCACCAACATGCAGGCCAAATTGCGGTCAATGAGCAGCTTGAGGAAGTAAGCCAGCCGAGTGGTCTCCGCAGTGGAAATCAGCACATTCTAGAAGGCATATCATTAAAATTAAGATTGAATTGAGCTATATATTATGGTTTCTTACTGCTAGAAATATTAAAAATGGAAAAGCCAAACATTTTTCTTCTGACTTTTTCGAGAAGGAACGTTCTTGAATTCCAGATAAACGCTCTCAACCTTTTTTAATTTTTTTGTAATATTAATATTTACTCACCTGCAGTGGAGTTTCCGTATCAATTGCCCCTCCAGTGGCTCCTGGGCGGCCAGCTCAGACCAGGGCTGAAACTTAAGGGTATGCACATTTAGGTGATAGTCAAAAACGGTTCCCTGGCTGGGCACTTAATGTCCTTGAACTCCCCTGTCCACCACTTGTGGAACTCACGGTGCCAGTCAATGATAACATCCTGACTTAAGGCAGATCCGAAGCTCCAAACGGTGCATACACAAAGATCGTTTCCAGGCCAAGACCATTGCTTCGTGGGATAGTTCACCGTGGTGTAAGTTGTGCGGGTTTGCTGCTCCCCCGGCTCCACTTCCTCTGCCTCTTCCATCTGATCCGTTTCCATCATCTTTGTCCAGGAGGCACTCGAGCAGGTGGCAGGTCATCTGGATCATGGCCATGTCCGTGATGGGAGTAATTCGCCGGAAGTCACGCTGCCGCTGCATCAGCAGGGAAAGTACTTCTCAAACAGCGTGGTCAGGATACCTCGCTCAATCATGTCCACTCGAGTTTCCAGCCAGGAGGAGACATAGCTAAGATTTAAGAAAAATGGAAAATATAATATACCAACCAAATAAAGGTGAAGCAAGGTGCTATAGAGATTTTATAAACGTATTTATATATTTATTTTACATAATATTTATGATTATTTATGATTAAGAACTATTTCATATTGTTTGTTGGTACTCACGGTGACCAACCCAAGTCTTGTGGATTGATGTACAGAATTCCAGCTCTGGAAACAGTTGCTGGAGTGGCAGCCTTTAGATGTCCAACTTCAAAAAGCAAACGCATCTCACGCTTTAGAGATATTCTTTCATTGCTGGCCAGAGTCAGAATCTTATTGTCGTCCATCAGGGTGTTGAGACTCTCGATCCACATAGGGTCTATGTCGCCATCGAGGACTATCCACTTGGGATTGCCAGGTGGCATGTTGGCCTGCTCCCTCATAATGGAGGAGAACAGGCCATCCTTCCACTCCCTCGTAGTGGGATTTACAATACCAAACAACTCATCATTGGACAGAGCTTTGGGATTAAGGACATGGCAGACGGGCTTTAGCTTTTGGATGCGATAGGTCTCGCGAAGGGTTTGCCAGATCTTGGTTTCCCAGTGCCCGCATTACCACTATAAAAACCGAGTGTCGTACATCGAGGAGTTCCTGGAGCTGCACCACCTTCATAAGGAATCCCTCCTCCGGCTGAAGTTTTATTTCATTTACTGCCCTTCGAATGGTCTTCTCGAACTCAAAGACCCCTTGCGTGGAACATCCAAAGCGGGAAGAGGTCCCTATCAGACCCATAAATATGGGCACATCCTCCGTGACAATCTTGGGTATATTGAAGTCCCGCAACGCACGCATCAGGACCTGATCCTCCGGCCGACTGTGGTCATCCCGCTTGAGAGTACCGGCCACCACCAGGACCGACTTAATGGCCCGCAGACCCCAATCGTAGTGATCCTGCTTGGACAACAGCTCCTTGCACAGCGTGTACAGGGTGATAAATTTGCGGGCCAGCAGACGGGCATCCTGGAAGCCCTCGGCCATTAGCATAATCTCACAAATCAAGGCAAAGTCCGGCACAATCATGGCGCATGGCCGGAACAGGGTCTTCAGGTTCTCTGGTAGCTCAGTACGGCCAGCGTATCCTGGATTCATGGTGATAAAAATTCCAACCGACGGCTCCAGCGAAATGCGCTCGCCCATAAAGATAAATTGGGTTTTATGCATCTGTAAACAGAGGAGGACGCGGAGGACGAGGTGGAGCAGTACAGCGAGGTCCAGGAAAAGTAATCAATGCAGGATGGTGGACCATGGATGGAGTGTATGGAGTGGAGGAAAAGAAGACTGGGTGACTGGACCGAAATCAATTTGCAAGCGGACGGCGTACCTTTATCGCCTCCTGTATGGTCTTCACCTGAACGGCCACCACCGAGAGGACCTCCACGCAGATGCGATTGAACTCGTCAAAGCAGCCCCAGGCTCCCGTCTGGGCGAGTCCTTTGTAAATGTTGCCACAAGATTTGTAGTCCATTTGCTCCGAGCAGTTGAAGACATAAACCATTACGCCCAGGGCGCGTCCGAGGTCCTTGGTGGTCTCCGTTTTCCCAGTTCCCGCGGGACCAGCGGTTGCCCCGGCCAACCGCAATCGCAGCGACTGCGGAGAAAATGGGGAAAAATCACGGAAAAGGTGGCATATGTATGTAAATTGCAAGCAACATTTATTTTCCACTAACGAGTTGTTTAATTTGCCACCGCCGGCGGCGAGGAGGTGCTGCACCACAAAACTGATGATCGTCTTGTTAATGGCTCCTTCCGCTGCGGTTTATGCAATCACCTGGTTACGCCTCCACTCAATACAAATTTATCTCTCAATTTCTGGGATTTGTTGCCTCAAGGATGTTGTTGAATTGGAAATATGGCGTTTATGTTAAATAGTGCAAGTTATCTCAATCTAAGCAGCTGTGTGCTAAATAAAGTTGTGGTTTCGTAAGAGCTTCAAGTTGGAATTTTAAACTTATTTTATAAAATCTAAAGAAGCTTGTTAACACCTGGGGCCTAATGCACTTGCTTGATTTTTGTCATACTGTCTGGACTTATTTTAAAATGACATGGCAGCCTAAAAACATTTTATGAATTTATATATTAAAATATGTTTAGGCTGTCATCATTTTTAAAATATTTTCTCGCTAGTTAGTCAAAAATCAAACAAGTGTCATAATTCTTTAAATGAAAATTCGTTTTATACAAATTTGTCTGAAATCTGTGCAAAATTATGTATTGTGAAAATAATTACCAAATTTGTAAACAGAGAAAATTAATGTAATAAGAGAATTTGGTAATTTCAGTAAGCCATTTATGATAATATTGTTATTTCATCTGACATATGATTTTCAATGAAAATTTTCTGTTTTGACAACTATGACTGATTCTCCCCGATATTAGTTTCACACCTTAGTGTTGTGCAACAATTCGACACATTTCATTTTTCCAACAACATGATTCGTAGGTGTCAAAGAGATAACGTACGATATGGCAGTCGGGCATGAAATATGCGCCTGTCAAAGCAAAAATCTGCGCTAATTGCACACGCAAATACATTTAATTTATTGAATTTCCGCCCTTTTCTCCCCTGTCACTCGCAGCTATCATTTCGAGTTTTTGTCTCGATTGGCTTTAACTAGCTGCCTGGTTTTAATATATTCAAGCCACGGGACATTGGCTTTCAATTATTCAAAGCCGGGCTGTGGACTTTACATTTGTAGCGGATTTCCGCTGCTAAATCCATTAACGCCCCCTGGCAGGCGTTGAAAGGGTTTATATTTAATTCAGGACTCGTTAGAATGGATTTGCTCGAAACTACAAAGTGAAAGTGATTTCCTTTGAATCAATTAGTACGGCTAATACCCTGTTGTTTTTTTTTTCACTCACCTGTGTTAAAGTGATATAACAGCGATCTGTTAAGGGTGTAATTACTAGACGCGATGTGTTTCCTAGATATCATAGGCATATCGGAATTCGGCATCGCAAATGTTGGCAAAGCATCCTCATCTCCTCCGCCACAACTGATGGCCGTACTGGCCCTCCCCTGGAACTTCCCGCCTGGTCATCATCCCATCGGTGACGCAATGACTTTGCCACTGGAAGGCCAGCGAATTGTCCACCTTGGAGGCTATAATCTTGCCCACCACATCACGGGAATGCACATCAATGGTGCAGATGTCATGATCTTCTGCGATCTCCTGGGAAAGTTCTCCAGCAGGAGATTGATCAAGGCATTCAGCTGGGCAATCTGTCGCTTGTGCAGCTCCTTCATCACACCCTCGTAGCCCTCCTCCATGCAGCCAAAGGATCGGTTTACATCCGCAGTCCAGCTGATTTGGCTGCAGCATAGAGCCACCTGGGCGGGCCAGTCGTAGAGCCAGAGCTCCCGAGGTTTCTCCCCAAAAACCCGTAGGGCTCTTCGAACAACTCGTGCAAGGTGCTCCTCATCTGCTGGATAATGGCACGCAGCCAAAGTTCCACTCTCCCCCGCAAACTATGAAGGCTGGCTGTTCGGATCTGCGGAAACGAAAGGCACATACTCATCATTTCCTTGGAATGCATGCCCAGGGCATTTGGTGTGTTGGTTTCATATTGTAGACGAAGGATTGAATCAAATAGTTTGATCAGATGTCGGTCGATCACTTGCGGATTGTTTCCATTCGAGAGATGTCCAACAGGTCGGCAGCGGAAATGAAGTAAACCGCGGGAAGGCTAGACGCTTGGTCTCCAGGTAATCATTCAGGGCCTTTTCACAAATTGCCAGCGCTGTTGCAACTGCAGCAATTGGGCAAGGACACCCTCGTGGCGCAACACCACCTGCATGACCACTCGAATTTCACTAACCTAGAAAGAGATTGGAATCGATGGATTCACTTCTAAGGGTACCTAAAAGTATGCAATAGTATACTTCATTGCATACTTTTAGCCACCTTTGGAAATGATTTTTAAACAGTATCTCTAGGACACCTCACCTTGGCTAAAAGTTCTGTAAAGTCCTTATCAATCCTCTCAAATTGGCCGCATCCGCTGGCAACTGGGCTCGAATGTCCGCAGATCCAATGAAGATGCACTCGAGGTAGATCCACTTCCGCTGCACCTCAAACCAGTTGACAATCAGAGTGTCTATGCCTCCCAGGACCTTTTGCCAGTGGGTGAGTTTGTCCAGAAGGTACTCAATGTGCTTCGAAGTGGAGATATTTTGCAGTTGCATCTGGTTGTCGTCCAGCGTTTCGATCAGTTCCTCGGATACCTTGAGCAACTGGATGTTGGGACGCGTTTGGTGCTGTTCCAGTTCGAATTCCAGATGAGCCCATGTAGCCTTGATCTCATCGAGCACTTTGGTTACCGTCATCTCCTTGATGGCACGGTCCACGGTGTTCTTAATGTCCTCCTCGTGATGCTGCAATTGCAGGGTCAGCAGCTGGGCCAATCTGGTAGATTTGTTGCATTTAAACGAGAGCTGTGGTGTGGAAAACACATATTAAGCATACGCAGCGTCGGTCTAATTACTCAGCAATTTGAGATTTGAATACATTTCAACGGCTTCCAGAATATCTCAGGGGCCGTACAAAAGACAGGGGAATCAATATGGAATTATGGCAAAAACACTGTGCTTCAAGATATTAGTTTTTATAGGTTCTTGTGCTAAGCCTTAAATTGGAAAACTTTGTTTTAATGTGGAATCGTTCTAGATATTCCATTTAACTTTTTGGCTAAGTTCAAAATTGCATTTAATTTCTCCAAAACTAGGTAATTTAAAAAAAAGAAAGAGCTTGTAGTTGTACTATACAGTATTAGACATTTTAGTTAGTTAAAGGAAAAATACCCTGTCTGAAAAACATTAGGTATTTGTTCTATTTTGTAGACCAGCGTAATTGATAGCTTTGAATGCCAGCTAAGATTTTCTCTGTTGGCCTGGACACACATTAATAATCACAAACTTTGACTGAATTTGGGCAAATTTAATTAACAGTACTGAGCAATGCATTCCTGTGTCGCCTCCGGCTGTGCGAGCCAAAAACCCTGCTAAGCCAATTGTTAGTACTATTATGTAATAGAGCCAAGCCAAACGCCCCAGAAACTGGAAACTAGAGGCATCTCGCTCAACAATGCACATAATCCGGAAACCATGAATGACCGACCGTTGGCTTGTGGCAGTTTTCTGATTGGGCTTAGATGAGCAAATGCGATAACTACATTTTAATTCATGATTTTCGATGAGGAGGGAAACTGATTCAGTTGTGATTTTCATTTACACTTACCAGCTCCTCCATGGAATGCTGTCCACTTAGCTGAGCATGAGGAGATGAGCGAGAAATTTGATTAGATTTTAGTAATTTATGTGACAATGATCAGTAATTCAGCAATCTAATTGCTGAGATACATAGATTGTCTGACTGTCCGCCCTTCTGTTTGTACAAATTACGGGTTGCAATGTGCCCTGGAAATTCCCCTGTGTTCATATCCTGTGACAGGACCTGCAGATCCTGCAGCTCCTGAGGTTTTAGCTACGCGTTTTGGCAACACATCACCGTCGCTAATGTGTTTGCCCAATGTGCGCCATTGTGGACCGGGCACAAAGAGACATCAGCCGGCGGGCAGATTGCCGGCTCCATTGTTGGTCCGCTCAGTCATTTGGAAGGACACACACACACACACACACCATAGGATGCGGAATCCCACTATTATGCTCACCTTTGTCAGCTGCATCAGCTCCATCCAGTGGCGCTCCGTAATTGCTGGATTCTGCAGCTCCGTGATGGCCCTCAGCGAGGCGACCAGTTCGCGGAGAACGCCCACGATGTGGACATAGGGCGCCCACTCGCGGATGCACTTGTCCAGGGTGCGGAGGTCGCGGGTGAACTTCTTGCACTCGTGCTCCATGTCATCGGTGTCGATGAGCAGCCAGGGCGTGGCGTGCCAGTCCACGATGCAGGACTCGATGACGCGCACAAAGTCCCACAATTGCTGCCGGCGATGGGTCAATTATTAGTTCTGTTGCGATAACAAGGTTATGCCGCGGACATTCCTTTCTAGCTCTTGCGGGTGAAAATAATAATCGAATGACTAAGCAAATGCTAAAAAAAACATAGTAATTGAACCTTTACTAAACTTAGTAAAGATAAGCAATCATAAAAGATCATCATTCTATAACAAAAAAAATAATTATAAAGTTCTGCAAATTCTAAAGTAAGTTTTAGTATCTAAACCATCAGGACTTTAAAATAACAAAAGTAATAGCTTGAAACATTTTATAATTTGCTAATGTATTCTGAAATACTATATATATTTTTACTATTATTATATGAATAAGATAAACTAACACGGACTCACCTTGACCCTTCTGAGCTCCACCTCGCAGAGCTGCAGGGTTGCAGAGTCTGGAGGCTGAATATCAAGAGTCGGGCCCAGCGAGTGTAAAGTCGCTGTTGCCGACGGAAGCGATGCAATCGTATATAGACCTCATCGCAAGCATCGTAGACTTGGGGGCAGGGTACCCGAAAGAACTGGAAGATCATATTCAGAATCCATATAAACCTAGAAAGAGTCGTCACCCACCGGCATCTTTTGAAACTGGCGGGCATAGTGCTGCAGATGGCAGGTGTGCAAACCAATTAGAGCGGCCACGCGTTGTTGTTGGTGGAAACGAGTGTCCTGCAGCGCCTCCTGTTTAACAGTACTCGACTGCTTCAGCTGCTGCCACTGCTGCGGCAACTGCTCAATGCCCCGCAACAGCTGCGGTTCGAACTCCACATTGTAGGTCTTCAGCAGACCCATGATGTCCTTCAGCGGCTTGAAGACGTTATCCGCATACGGTTCCCTCTGCCGAATCTCCGACATGATGGCCAAAACGCGGAGCAGGGCCGAGAAGTCCTGGCGGGCGATGTGCAGCTGCAGCGTCTCGTGACCGCGGGCAATGAATGCGTTCAACTCCTGGAAGAGAAGTTTCCCTCGATTTAAGGTGTTCCCAAACTTTTCCAGTGAGCAATAAGTGCTTCTGGCGAAAAATATTTGTAAGCCAGCTCAAGCCGGTATTTCATTTACGAATAATTCAAGCAAAATACTTTCTAATAGTTTGATAACATTTTTACTTAAGCAGAATTGTTAGTTCACTCATTTAGTCATCTTTAAATATTTAAAAATAATAATAAGAGATATATATTTACATTGAACTTTTAAATGGCTTTAAATTGACCCTCGTCTACGTGAATACTAGAGAATTGCACTACATGTTAATTGAGGTCTCCCACATCCAAATCGGAATCCAATAACTCAAGTTATGGGATCTGGAAGTCCAGTTTTAGGTTCCCATACTGAAGGCCATTTGAATTACGGAAAATCGAACATGAAAATGGATAAAAATTTTACCATCTTATAAGAGAAATATTTAAATGTAGATTATTAGAGAAATTAACCACAAACCCATAGAGGTATCCCACGTCCAAATCGGGATCCAATTACTAAAGATATGGAATCTGGAAGTCCAGTTTTTGGGTACCGTTCTAAAACCAATTGGAAATAACGAAAAATCGAACATGAAAATGGGTTAAAACTTGGACCATCCAATGGGAGAAATATTTTAATGTAGATTGTTAGAGAATTCAACCACAAACTCGTAGAGGTATCCCACGCCCAAATCGGGATCAAATTACTAAAGTTATGGAATCTGGAAGTCCAGTTTTTGGGGTACCGTTCTAAACCCATTGGAAATAACGAAAAATCGAACATGAAAATGGGTTAAAACTTGGACCATCCAATGGGAGAAATATTTAAATGTAGATTGTTAGAGAATTCAACCACAAACTCATAGAGGTATCCCACGTCCAAATCGGGATCCAATTACTAAAGTTATGGAATCTGGAAGTCCAGTTTTTGGGTACCGTTCTAAAACCAATTGGAAATAACGAAAAATCGAACATGAAAACGAGTTAAAATTTGGACCATCTTATAAGAGAAATATTTAAATGTAGATTATTAGAGAATTCAACCACAAATTCATAGAGGTATCCCACGTCCAAATCGGGGTCTAATTAATAAAGGTATGGAGTCTGAAAGTGGAGATTTTGGTTATCGTTCTAAAACCAATTGAAAATAACGAAAAATCGATCATGAAAATGGGTTAAAACTTGGACCATCCTATAGGATAAATATTTAAATGTAGATTATTAGAGAATTCAACCACAAACTCATAGAGGTATCCCACGCCCAAAACGGGATCAAATTACTAAAGCTATGGAATCTGGAAGTCCAGTTTTGGGTATCGTTCTAAACCCCATTGGAAATAACGATAAATCGAACATGAAAATGGGTTAAAACTTGGACCATCCAATGGGAGAAATATTTAAATGTAGATTGTTAGAGAATTCAACCACAAACTCGTAGAGGTATCCCACGCCCAAATCGGGATCAAATTACTAAAGTTATGGAATCTGGAAGTCCAGTTTTTGGCGTACCGTTCTAAAACCCATTGGAAATAACGAAAAATCGAACATGAAAATGGGTTAAAACTTGGACCATCCAATGGGAGAAATATTTAAATGTAGATTGTTAGAGAATTCAACCACAAACTCATAGAGGTATCCCACGTCCAAATTGGGATCGAATTACTAAAGTTATGGAATCTGGAAGTGGAGATTTTGGTTATCGTTCTAAAACCAATTGGAAATAACGATAAATCGAACATGAAAATGGGTTAAAACTTGGACCATCCTATAGGATTAATATTTAAATGTAGATTATTAGAGAATTCAACCACAAATTCATAGAGGTATCCCACGACCAAATCGGGATCAAATTACTAAAGTTATGGAATCTTGAAGTCCAGTTTTGCGGTATCGTTTTAACCCCATTGGAAATAACGAAAAATCGAACATGAAAATGAGTTAAAATTTGGACCACCTTATAAGAGAAATATTTAAATGTAGATTATTAGAGAATTCAACCCCAAACTCATAGAGGTATCCCACGTCCAAATCGGGGTCTAATTAATAAAGTTATGGAATCTGAAAGTGGAGATTTTGGGTATCGTTCTAAAACCCATCGGAAATAATCAAAAATCGAACATGAAAATGGGTTAAAAATTGGACCATCCAATGGGAGAAATATTTAAATGTAGATTGTTAGAGAATTCAACCACAAACTCGTAGAGGTATCCCACGACCAAATCGGGATAAAATTACTAAAGTTATGAAATCTGGAAGTCCAGTTTTGGGGTATCGTTCTAAAACCCACCGGAAATAACGAAAAATCGAACATGAAAATGGGTTAAAACTTTGACTATCCTATAGGATAAATATTTAAATGTAGATTATTAGAGAATTCAACCGCAAACTCGTAGCGGTAACACACCTCCAAATAGGGATCCAATTAATAAAGTTATGGAACCTGGAAGTCCAGTTTTTGGGGTACCGTTCTAAAACCCATTGGAAATAACGAAAAATCGAACATGAAAATGAGTTAAAATTTGGACCATCTTATAAGAGAAATATTTAAATGTAGATTATTAGAGAATTCAACCACAAACTCATAGAGGTATCCCACGTCAAAATCGGGATCCAATTACTAAAGTTATGGAATCTGGAAGTCCAGTTTTGGGGTATCGTTCTAAGCCCCATTGGAAATAACGATTAATCGAACATGAAAATGGGTTAAAACTTGGACCATCCTATAGGATTAATATATAAATGTAGATTATTAGAGAATTCAACCACAAACTCGTAGAGTTTCACACGCCCAAACCGAGATCAAATTACAAAAGTTATGAAATCTGGAAGTCCAGTTTTTGGGGTACTGTTCTAAAACCCATTGGAAATAACGAAAAATCGAACGTGAAAATGAGTTAAAATTTGGACCATCTTATAAGAGAAATATTTAAATGTAGATTATTAGAGAATTCAACCACAAACTCATAGAGTTATCCCACGTCCAAATCGGGGTCTAATTAATAAAGGTATGGAATCTGAAAGTGGAGATTTTGGTTATCGTTCTAAAACCAATTGAAAATAACGAAAAATCGAACATGAAAATGGGTTAAAACTTGGACCATCCTATAGGATTAATATTTAAATGTAGATTATTAGAGAATTCAACCACAAACTCATAGAGGTATCCCACGACCAAATCGGGATCAAATTACTAAAGTTATGGAATCTTTAAGTCCAGTTTTTGGGTATCGTTCTAACCCCATTGGAAATAACGAAAAATCGAACATGAAAATGAGTTAAAATTTGGACTACCTTATAAGAGAAATATTTAAATGTAGATTATTAGAGAATTCAACCCCAAACTCATAGAGGTATCCCACGTCCAAATCGGGGTCTAATTAATAAAGTTATGAAATCTGAAAGTCCAGTTTTGGGGTATCGTTCTAAAACCCACCGGAAATAACGAAAAATCGAACATGAAAATGGGTTAAAACTTTGACTATCCTATAGGATAAATATTTAAATGTAGATTATTAGAGAATTCAACCGCAAACTCGTAGCGGTATCCCACCTCCAAATAGGGATTCAATTAATAAAGTTATGGAACCTGGAAGTCCAGTTTTTGGGGTACCGTTCTAAAACCCATTGGAAATAACGAAAAATCGAACATGAAAATGAGTTAAAATTTGGACCATCTTATAAGAGAAATATTTAAATGTAGATTATTAGAGAATTCAACCACAAACTCATAGAGGTATCCCACGTCCAAATCGGGGTCTAATTAATAAAGTTATGGAATCTGAAAGTGGAGATTTTGGGTATCGTTCTAAAACCCATCGGAAATAATCAAAAATCGAACATGAAAATGGGTTAAAACTTGGACCATCCAATGGGAGAAATATTTAAATGTAGATTGTTAGAGAATTCAACCACAAACTCGTAGAGGTATCCCACGCCCAAATCGAGATCAAATTACAAAAGTTATGAAATCTGGAAGTCCAGTTTTTGGGGTACCGTTCTAAAACCCATTGGAAATAACGAAAAATCGAACATGAAAATGAGATAAAATTTGGACCATCCTATAGGATAAATATTTAAATGTAGATTATTAGAGAATTCAACCACAAACTCATAGAGGTATCCCACGTCTAAATCGGGATCCAATTACTAAAGTTATGGAATTTGGAATTCCAGTTTTGGGATATCGTTCTAAAACCCATCGGAAATAACGATAATCGAACATGAAAATGGGTTAAAACTTGGACCATCCTATTGGATAAATATTTAAATGTAGATTATTAGAGAATTCAACCACAAACTCATAGAGGTATCCCACGCCCAAATCGGGGTCTAATTAATAAAGTTATGGAATCTGAGTGTGGAGATTTTGGGTATCGTTCTAAAACCCATCGGAAATAACGAAAAATCGAACATGAAAATGGGTTAAAACTTGGACTATCCTATAGGATAAATATTTAAATGTAGATTATTAGAGAATTCAACCACAAACTCATAGAGGTATCCCACGTCTAAATCGGGATCCAATTACTAAAGTTATGGAATCTGGAAGTCCAGTTTTGGGGTATCGTTCTAAACCCCATTGGAAATAACGATAAGTCCAACATGAAAATGGGTTAAAACTTGGACCATCCTATAGGATTAATATTTAAATATAGATTATTAGAGAATTCAACCACAAACTCGTAGAGGTATCCCACGCCCAAATCGAGATCAAGTTACAAAAGGTATGAAATCTGGAAGTCCAGTTTTGGGGTATCGTACTAAACCCCATTGGAAATAACGATAAATCGAAAATGAAAATGGGTTAAAACTTGGACCATCCTATAGGATAAATATTTAAATGTAGATTATTAGAGAATTCAACCACAAACTCATAGAGGTATCCCACGTCCAAATCGGGGTCTAATTAATAAAGGTATGGAATCTGAAAGTGGAGATTTTGGTTATCGTTCTAAAACCAATTGAAAAGAACGAAAAATCGAACATGAAAATGGGTTAAAACTTGGACCATCCAATGGGAGAAATATTTAAATGTAGATTGTTAGAGAATTCAACCACAAACTCATAGAGGTATCCCACGCCCAATTCGGGATCCAATTAATAAAGTTATGGAATCTGGAAGTGGAGATTTTGGGTATCGTTCTAAAACTCATCGGAAATAATCAAAAATCGAACATGAAAATGGATTAAAACTTGGACCATCCAATGGGAGAAATATTTAAATGTAGATTGTTAGGGATTTCAACCACAAACTCGTAGAGGTATCCCACGACCAAATCGGGATAAAATTACTAAAGTTATGAAATCTGGAAGTCCAGTTTTGGGGTATCGTTCTAAAACCAATTGAAAATAACGAAAAATCGAACATGAAAATGGGTTAAAACTTGGACCATCCTATAGGATAAATATTTAAATGTAGATTATTAGAGAATTCAACCACAAACTCATAGAGGTATCCCACGTCTAAATCGGGATCCAATTACTAAAGTTATGGAATTTGGAATTCCAGTTTTGGGATATCGTTCTAAAACCCATCGGAAATAACGAAAATCGAACATGAAAATGGGTTAAAACTTGGACCATCCTATAGGAGAAATATTTAAATGTAGATTATTAGAGAATTCAACCACAAACTCATAGAGGTATCCCTCGTCTAAATCGGGATCCAATTACTAAAGTTATGGAATCTGGAAGTCCAGTTTTGGGGTATCGTTCTAAAACCCATCGGAAATAACGAAAATCGAACATGAAAATGGGTTAAAACTTGGACCATCTTATAGGATAAATATTTAAATGTAGATTATTCGAGAATTCAACAACAAACTCATAGAGGTATCCCACGCCCAAATCGGGATCAAATTACTAAAGTTATGGAATCGGGAATCCAGTTTTGGGGTATCGTTCTAAACCCCATTGGAAATAACGAAAGATCGAACATGAAAATGGGTTAAAATTTGGACCATCTTATAAGAGAAATATTTAAATGTAGATTTTTAGAGAATTCAACCACAAACTCATAGAGGTATCCCACGCTGAAATCGGGATCCAATTACTAAAGTTATGGAATCTGGAAATCCAGTTTTGGGGTATCGTTCTAAAACCCATTGGAAATAACGAACAATTTGGAAATAACAAAAAAAATAAAAAAGTTCTTGGAAGACCCCAAAAATCCATTAATTGAAACCCGAAATACTTTTATGTGTGCGATGAACTCAAGTTGACTTTCTGATAAGTCACTTCAGTAAATGGGTCCAGCTATCAGCAATATTAAATGTTTCTTTATATTTGCGACAAAAAGCTGGGCCTCAGTATTTCATTATCATTCAATTTGAGAGGTTAACAATTTTGAAAATGTTGAGACTCGCTAAATTTTTTTTGCGGGCCTTTATAGCCGGAAATTTCTTAGGCTTATTGGCCGGCTTTCAGAACAACTACTGTGACACGGAAAATCAGTGTAGTCAATCCATTCACTATACACTACAGCCGATGGAAGTTGACATTTCTGAAACCAAGGCCCAGCTAAACAGGATCCAAGTTGCCCAGAGGATCATGCAGGACAATTTCCGGGCGGTAAAAGAAGGACTGGACTTCGAACTATCAGATATATTCACCAAAATGGACGCCAACCATCGCCAAGTACAGATTGGGTTGGAAAACCAGTCTTGTGAGAGGACAATCACGCGAAAGGAATACGATGAGCAACTCCAGGTTCTTAAGAGCAAAATGGAAGAACTATTGAAGGCGCAGATAAACTCTCAAAATATGGTTATTGGCCAACTTTCAACGGAGCAGACCAAACTGGAAAACCAGCAGGCAAACATCGAAAAGTCTATCGAAAATATCATCTCCCAAACAGGCTGTGCGAAATCCTGCGAAAATACCATTTCAAAGGAAGAACTTGAGGCAAGTTTGCAGGCGATTTTCAAGGTAGCGGAGGAGAAGCTTCTTTTGGTTAAGTCCAGTCTACAGGAGTTGCAGTTAAAATTAGAAGGGCAGGAAACAGGTCCGAAAGAATTTTCCAAAGCCAATTTAAAAATTCCACCGAATTTTGAGAGGATAAGTGGGAGGCACTTTTATATTGGAAATAATATTAAGAAAAATTGGACAGACGCTGCAGAAACCTGTCGAAATATGGGCGGCTATTTGGCAGCCATCGAAAACGAAACCGAATTCGAGATCATCAATAGGAAACTATTAAAAAATATTGAGTATTGGCTTGGCCTCAACGATAAGGAAAAAGAAGGTGAATTCGTGTCTTTGGCCTCCGGAAAGAATGATAGATTTTTGTTGTGGGATGCCAAGCAAAACAATCAAAATATAAACTGCGTTCAGCTACTTGACGAAAAGATGAGTGTTAAATACTGCTTTCATAGGTATTTGTTCATTTGTCAATCTGATAATGAAGTTTAGAAGACATGAAAAAATATATGCATTGTTGAATAAATGAATTTTAAAATATAATGACAAAATAAAATACCTAAATTATTTAAAGTGTTTTCGTCAACCAATCTTCTAGGACCTTATCAACAACTCAATAATTGCATTTATTAAGGAGTTCCCAGAAGAAGGTCAACATTTTGGTATGTTATGTCCTACCTTAAGAGTTCCCTGAACGTAGCGGAGTAACCATTTTTTGCATAGGTGCGACCATTTGCAGGCCAGGTTGAGAAGGCCATACTTGAGGGGCTTGAGATCGAGGGCTAGCCATCCGTTGATGCACTCCCTGTTTTCGCACTGGTCGATGGCATCATGCACCTCGTTGTAGTTCTCGATCTGTGGAAAATCCGTACGGTTAGGGAGTGACAACTTCCTTTTGACTTGGTCCTACCCTAATTTATTTGCAAATTTGCCACACATGGGTGTGTTCTGTGTATATCTCTAAGTGTGTGGAAGGGATAAGCCCCTATATGCTGTGTATGTATTATAGTATTCGTACCGCTGCCGTCGGTTTATTAAGCGCACCAGCTGCGCCAGGGGCAACTCAATGGCTAGTCATAAATAAAATGCTGGCCAGTGATTTTTTGTGCTCTATCGTAGGCTAGGGTATCACTGAATTTATGTCTGGAATTTCTCATTCGCAATATATTTTGAAGGATATATTTGGTAATTCCAAAATTGAATATCAAGATATGCCAAGAAAATCGTTTAAAAGTGTGTCTAAAAGTATACTGTAAAATTTATGTTGCCTGCTTTTAGACAGCTTTATAGGCGAAAGACTTTGATCAAATATAAATAAATTTTTTGGAATCTAAATATGTCATTTATAATCAAATCAGTAGTTAGCATTTTCTAGAATTCATAAATATTGAAACAAACAAAATCGGAAAGCCACAAAATTTAATGCCATTTTCATCCAAACATTTTCTTTTTCTGAAGAGGCTAAATTTAGCATTTGCAACATACAATGCTCCGCCCAAAACAAAGATGAAATGTTTAAGATCAGACCATTCAGACTTCGTTGCTTTCCTGTTTGGCCATATCTTGCTGGCGAATTTCCCTTATTTTATTGGGCAACACCCAATTTCACGCCATGTCCGTGCACTTTGACCATGATTTGTTGTTGCCTCTTGTGTTGTGTTGCGTGTGTGTGAGTTCCTTTCGGGTAATTTATTGCATACTTTTCGGGGCGTTTGATAATTGTTTAAAGAAAATATTACGCATACGTCGGCGATTTGCCTGCTGTGCTACAGGAAGTGGCTCCCAATTGCCCCCGAACATAAGTCAACGACGCCATGTGGCTGCTAAGCAGTTGTTTAGTGTTTTGCTTTGTTTTGTTCGGGGCTTTCTTTTTTTTTGTGTTTTGCCCTGGTCAGTTGCCACACATTTGACCCTAAATGGTTGGCATTTATCAAGCGTTATTGGTCTCAGGGGCTACATGGCGTAAATTGTGTGGCTGCCAATTGAGCAGCCCAGTCTGCGTGTGAGTGTCGCAGCCACTAAAGCTGTTGGCATTCAGTGCCCTGGAGTCCTGGTCCTGCCTTGCTCCTTTTTCCGACTCACCTCCTTTTTGAACGTCTCCATGATGGCATAGCCGCCGGCACTGACATGGTGCGTCTGCTCCCTGGCCGTTTGCATGCAGGCGGCCAGGACGTCGCCGCTCTGCTGGGTCCACAGGAATGCATAGGCGTGGAATTTGGCAGCGTAAGCCGATGCCGCCTCAACCGTATCCGCCAGGGCATCGCGTATCGCCTTCTCCAGAATTTCCAGACCATCGGCTGGGATGTGCAGGGCGATATTGAAAAAATAAGTGAAAAAATGGCAGATATGAGTCAAACTAGATTTTACAGTTCGATTCGGTACCCTGTGTACCGTAAAACCACTGTTTATGACCCTAAAATCATATAAGATACTGTAGAATATTTTGAAGAAATATTTTTGTGAATGAACTAATATGGTTCTTAAATAATTTTTGAAGATGCCTAAAAGTGTGCTGCAATATATTTTAAATGCAGATATGCTTCCTATTTATAAGGAACTATGATGATATTTTTACTGCATACTTTTAGACACCTTTATATAGTTTTATACTCGGGCAAAGGGTGGATTTACAAATTGGTTTCTTAAAGTATACTACAATATATTTGTAAAGTAAGAGATCTTTGAGTTCATTGAGAAATAAACTAATATTTTAAGAACCTTAAAACCTTTACACATTTTATACCATACAAAAGGGTATCTAAATATGCTATAACTTATTGGGAAGACAAAATCCATACCACTGCATTCCATTTTTTGGCTATATGCCTTGGCGGCTGCCAGCAGGTTGAATTGCACGGCCTGCGGCTTGGGTTCCTCCGGCTCCTGACCCGCCAGTTCCTTTCCCTGATCCTCAACCCCATTCGGCTCCTGTTTCTGCTCCTGCTCGTACTCCACCGTCGCCGTGTCGTCTTCATCATCCTCTGACAGGGCATTGTCAGCCACAATTCTTGGCATGCAGTCGCATGTCTGTTTTATATCGAGCAACAGCTGCTCCACAATTTGTTGAAAATTATTTTCCACACTTGCATCAAAGGCGGGCGAAAAGCGTATTTCCGTTTCCGTCAGCTCCAATTTTACTTCGAAGAGTGGAGCATCGTTGATGGCTGGCGGGGCTCCACCGCCTGCTCCAGATCCTCCTGCTCCTGATCCCCCTGCTCCTGCTCCTCCTGTCGCCTGTGGCGTTGTGATTTGCTGTAGGACTAACCTTGCCATGCTGGCTGAAGCACCCGGATCCGCTGGAATTGTTGATGTTGCTGTTGCCTTTGCTGTTGCTGTCATTTCTTTGTACAAATACTCTAAACTGAATTACACGGCGTATGAGTAATGTGAAAATTAAATTTAGTGTTGAGTTTGTTTTGCAGCTTATTTCGTTTGCAGGTTGTGAGCCACGCCCCCTGTAGACATCTACCGCCTCCCCCCCGCCCCCAATATTCGTCTGACGTTGTCTGCATGCAATCACGAAAAGTGCCGCTAAGTGAAACATGCAATTGACGCATGAATGCTCGGCCCGCGGCAATTTGTTGTTGCCATTGTTGCACCCATATTGCTGCGGTCGCGAAGTGTGTGGTTGTTGCACGTTGTTGCTGGCTGTTGCAGTGTTGCACTTTCTGCAGGTGTCTTTCATTTTTGCGGTTGCAGTTGTGCGATTTCGTGCTCATTTACTTGATTAGTTCTGATGAGACATGAAAGGAGCTGCCAGCGTGCCGAAATGTAATGAAATAGTTAGCTGCCAGGTGAAGAAGTGCAATTGATTGGCGATGAGTGCTACTGACAATGATGATGGAGATGATCATTAGGACGATGATGATGATGATGGAAAGTCAAGTGCTAGTTCAAAAACCTTATTCTCATCGCCTCTCGAACTTCGCGGAAAATCAACTCATCCACGCTGGCCAGATACTTGTGGTACTGCCGCCGCTGCTCCTTGGGAAATTCGCGAACAAACTGCAATGAAAATGTTTAAAAAATCCATTAAACAGTCATTCAAGTATACCAATCCTAAATCCTATCTTAAACGTTTAACTACGAGCTGGAAAATCCATGTCTGGTTAGGTTTTTTATATTACCTAAATAAAATTTAAATGGGTCAAGTTATGATAAACAGTGGTTAAAACTCACCTCCTGGACACTGAGATCCCTTGAGTAAAGCTGAAACTCCTGGGCTTCGTAGTTGAAAAACAAACAGAAGTTGGCAATCAGCAGGCGATTGAGGAGCATCTTGGTCTCATCGCACTGCAGCAATCGCAGACGAACTCGGTCCTGCTGGTGACGCAGATCGAGGAGATTGCGACCGTATAAGCTGCGCTGATGCAGTGGCTCCCGGCTCCAGCGACGCATGCTGACCAGGATTGCATCCAAATTGCCGTGCGACTGCTGCAGTCGGGCAAAAAGGTCTCGGCTCTGCTCAAAAATGTCCGCTACAAGCGGATCATCTGGGGGTAGATGGTTGTGATACACAGAAGAAAATAAAGTTGTATCTTAAATTATGAGATTAAGACGACTTAACGTTTAAGGTGAAGTACTTTGAGTCGTATATTTACCAAATTATATAACTGAGATTTTTGGTAAAAGCCTTTACAAAAAATTTAAAAATAACCATATAAACATATATAGCGGTTAATTTCAATATTATGTCGTTTGTAATAGATTCAATGATTTTGACGAGGGCAATTATGGTAACTACATTTATTTCTTTTGCAATTTTCCCCAGTGTAGTCCATTCCACTCACCGTAGTTGCGCCAGGTGAGCTGCTCACAAGCCTGTGCCACCTGTTCGTCGATGGTAGCCAGGTCGTTGCGTATTAACTGGAGCTCAGCTGCGGCACATTCCCCCGAGCGAATGCCGTTGTAGAACTCCCCAATCTTGATGAGCCGAATGCGACGCTCCCAATAGGCATCCCGCTGACCATAGAGTGTGAGCAGTTGGTCCGGCAGCTGGAAGAGATCGCCGGATAAGCTGCCGGTGGCCTGAAGGGCCAACAAATACTTGGTCTCCTTCAGCAGGGTAAACAGCACCGGGGAGAAGTTTAGATACAGCTGACTATTATCCTCTGATCGGGAAAGCACCGATTCATCAAGTCCTCGTTTGATTAGGTTATCAATGCACTCATGCCAGGAGGTCCAGATTTTCATTTGCAGATTACTCAATTTGGTGGTTAAAATATTGCGACGTGAGAGCAGGGAACCCCATTGAAGGGGCAGGGTTTGCAGCTCTGATTTCTCTTTTAATCTGGCAAGTTTTAAAAATTTAAATAGATTTTTAAAATATTTTATTAGAACCGGTTTTACTTACAATTGCTCAATAAGTTGGTTAAGCTCCTTGGCTCCCAATTCATCGCAGCGAATGATATGCTGTTGTAGCCACATCATGGCATTGGCAATGGGTGGAAAATTATTGGCCATGGGCAAGGCAGCCAAACCCCGAATCTCGTAGCCCAAAAGTACTTCCGTGACACTCTCCTCCAGTTGCTCCATTTCCGTGTTATAGATGAAAAGGATGTGCGGCAGGACTCGAGCCAATTCCGGTCTCACAGCTTCACGTTGCAGCAGGCAGTTAAACATCAGGGTCAAGCGGAGCAAGTGCGTCCAGCTGTGGCACTGTTCGAAGGCCTGGAGCAAAACGGTGGCCAGTTTCTGTTCCAGCAATTGCATGCGACTGAAGAAAAGGACTTGCTCCCGGCGGAAACATTTCCATTTGCTGGCCACCGAGGCCGTGAGATCAATGTCCACATTGGTCCATTGCTCAAAAAGCAGTTTGAATTCCCCAAAAATCTAGGGAAAATTATGGATTATGAATAACTGATAGATATAATATTTTATTATAATTTTAAATAAACCTCTCTGACGCGTTCTGTTAGCATTTTGCCTCTTAAACCGCCCACTTCGAGCTTCTCCAGCTGCTGAAACTGCACTGCCGCCTCGAAAACCTGACGCAGCTCCATCAACTGGGCTGAGAAGCCATCGAGTGTTTGGCCAAACACATCCTCGTGGCAGAAGCGCCACAGCTGCTGTTGGTCATCCGGGAATGGAGAAGGAGCCACAGCTCCTGCTCCTTCGGAAAGCGCTGGCAAAAGGACCTGATTGCCGGCATAACGCTCCTTGTATTCCAGCATTCGCTGCCTGCAGAAAATGGGTTATTGCAATTTCACATAAAATATGTATAATAATTCCTTAAACAAAATTCTAACATATCTTCAAACAATTGAACTTTAAATTTGTAATTGAATTGTGGCGAATTGATTGAATACGTTCCATAATTTATAATATTCAAATTAGCCTAGTTAGAGGCTTATATTATTAAGTGACACAGCTTTGCTGAATATTGACACATACTATGACTTATTTGGTAGGATTGGATTTAATTGATTTTCTACTTAAAATTGGTTTAAAATTGTCTTTAAGCCAAGCAATTTTCTTAACCACACTTGCATTTTACATAATAACAGTGGGAAGAATGTTAGATTCGGATTTAATTTGATGGTATTTAATAAGTGTATCTCATTGGCATATTCAAGTCAATTAAAGATTAATACAATTTAAAATAATTAGATACTCCATATATGATTAACTGAGCTCCTATGGTACTTTTTTAAAATTATTTTGTAATAAAAGGGAATTGCATAAATATTTTAACTGTCTTGATAGATTTTTATCAATCATTTTTTATTCTTACTTGAAAAGCTCCAGAACCTCTGTGGTGCGATTGATTTTGAGTAGCCCCTCGTCGGCGTCACCCTGGAAGAGCAACTGCAGCTCAAGATCCTCGGCGGCACGATGGACCAGCATGTTGCAGATGCAGCGCAGCAGGACACTCATCCTTTGAGTGCTCCGATAGTACCTGGCATTGCTCCACACTAGATGCACCACGTGTACTAGAGGTGCTACCAAATCGTGGCCATTGCTGAACTGCACCGAATTGAAGGCGGAAGTCTGGCGGAGAAGAGGCTGCAGCCAAAGGGAAACATCCTGCGCCTCCAACCAGGCTGCCACCAGTTTCCGAAAGGCAGTGGCATATGGCACATAATAAACCGACTCGATCCGTTCCAAAATCTGTGCTAGAGTCTTGTGCGTGGATTCTCGCAGCTGTTCGTAAATATTTTGCAGGTTTAACTTCCGGTTCGTCCAAAATCCAATCTCCTGGGCAGGCAAAGAAACGTGTGTTATGTGCTTGGGTTGATGCCCGGATGATAAGGTGGCAGATCCCAAGGGCTGACACTCAGAACGCTCCAAAACTATATCATGCATCTGGGTAGTCCAGTTAATAAACATCTCTTCCAGCAGATTTCGGAATTTTGGATCCAAGGCAGGCCTTAAGTGGCTATGGAAAACAAAAAACAAACACAATTAAAATCTATTAAAATAATCTTTATTTCTGAGATATAATTTTAAGCAGCTTAAGTTGATTTTTTAAGGTAATCCTATAGAAGTTTAAAGTTACACAATTGTTTTTTGTATTATTGGCTTTCATTTGTACTTCTCTGCAACTAAACTTTGGTCCATGGGGAGAACTTTTATAATGAGCGGAAACATTTATTGACCTAATTCTCAAAAAATTTGCATTTGACTTCACCCCTTTTATGTTGCTATTTGTTTTAAACTTTTTTCCTTGTTAGTTTTCCATTCAACATTGATACCAATTAAGATGGCTTTATGATTTATTTTGATTTTTGCCAATGCTTGGCTTTTCATTTTGTCTCTATTGATTCGAATATTGTGAATTACTGGAGCATGAACCTCTTAATACATTTTTAAAGGCTCTTGACGTGTGTGTATCAATGGCAATTTTAGCTAAATTCAGGACAATTTTCTTGAGAATGCTGATGGCCGATTGCTTTTTCTTTAATATTTGTAATTTAATTAAAAGCACTCGTACGATGAGAAAATAATCGATGTATGCCACCAGTTTTGTGTGGCCAAGGGGTAAACAACTTGAATTTCCCCGGAATTGCAAGCTAAATAAATTTCGAGCAATTCATGCGAAAAGTTATGCCAATGAAAATCAATTTGGTATCATGAATAAGCCTTTCTCTTTCTGTCCACATAAACAATACCAGATAGCTTCTGCTGGGGCGACATCTTCGAACCCAAGGAGCTCCACCGAGCTGGAGGGCAGGGCGGATATCTAAGACAATGGCCATCCCATGGCTGGAACTTACCCTTGGCTCACGTGGGCAAACACTTCCTCGACGATTGTTGGCGAAACTAATAACGATAAAATTGTGCGATTGTTGGTTTTGCCCTTAATCTGTGGGGATAACAATAAAGTATATATATACAGAAACAGAATGTATACGTATCGCCCGTAGACACATGAAAAGTTTTGCCAATTAAGCGAAATACTTCCAAGACAATGGACGGAGTCGCTCCAAATGGGATCGGTTGGGGTTTTAGGAACCTACCATTCACCCCACTCGAAGCCTCCGCTCCACTGCACTCAATTAGATTAATTTGATGAGATAACACAGCTGCCGGCTGCACTCGCGAAAAAATCTACCTTTTTTACAAATTATTATATGGATGGATGGTGCCACAGGATTTTTAAAAATGTGTTCAATAGTATGCTGTATAAAGGGAACGGCAACTTTTGAAATCAATCCCTCCATAGTCAAAGTGTATTGTGACATTCTTTTAGACACTACTTCCTTTTCAAAAATATGACTTCGAATTTTAAAAAAATATAGTTAAGATTTTTATAAAATAAAAATGAAAAATAAAATGACTTTAGAAGGAGTCTAAAAGTATGCTGTGAAAAAGTCTTGTTTTGGATTGAATCAATCCGAGCTCTGTTTTTAAAATATATTGTTGCATACTTTTAGACACATATTTTTTAGTTTACTTCAAAGCACTTATCTGTGAATCCATCGAAAAATAAAGTTTCTAAATGGTTAATATTTTAAAATTTATTTTAAACTACTCCAGTTGTAAGGTAGATTTTTTCTAAGTGCTTTAGCTCCAGTCAGCCAAATCACCCACCTCGGTCAGCGTGTTCCTCACTTCCTTGATTCGCGCCTGCAGATCCTTGCGAACAATGGCGGGCCACTGACTTTGTGCCTGTTCCAGGAGCGGTTGCAATACTTCGTCGAACAGCAGCGACATGGTTTCGATTTTGCTGTGCACCGGGAAGTCGCCGTACAGAATGCTCTCCGCAAAATTGGATGCCGTCAGCGGTCCGTCGGAAGTATTACGTCGGACAAAGTAGGCGCACTTGCCGCGCGGCACACCATCTAAAGTCGTAAAGCTGGAGGACGCGGGCGGCAGGGGGATGAGCAGGGCGCCGGGCGTGGCAGATACCACGGCGGATACGGCGGCAGTCACCGTGGCCATGGCTTCATCTTCCAGGGGCAGCATGGTGGCGGATGGGACAGATCCACGAGTGCTCTGCACCGAATACGGCAGGTACAAGTCACTGAGGCAACTCCGGGGCACCAGATCTCCACCCGGACTGAGAGTCATCACCAGGACGCGACTGTGGCCATGCTGCCAGTCCAACACAATGCGCTGGACACAAAGGTAATGGGACAATGGTAATTCAAAAGCACAGACAAAATGTCATACTAATCACATTTTACATATTGTTTCCCATTTTAATTCACTTTAATTTAATTTCAATAAATTATTTTCATTGTCAACTTGTTTAACCATTTTAATCAATAATCACACAATCACTTAAACTTTTTATTAGGGCTGGAATTGTTAATTAATATTCAGTTTATTAAGCAAATTACGTTCTGCGTTTAAAGTTCCATTCAATAGGTCTTTGTAAATTTTATGTGTCATAAACATGAATGTTGCGCTTATTTTGTTGTTTATGTTGGTTATCGATTTTAATTATTTTTTGAAAATATTAAATACGTAATATTAAATAAGCAAAGTAAATTTAGTAGTTTTAATTTTGTTAAGTAGAACAGGTTTTTTTTAATAGAAGCTGAAACTGTTTTATTCTCTTAATTTAGAAAATATATATATATTTCTTAAACTAACAACATTTTTATAACTAATGGGTTCTTTTTTAGCACTTCTTTTAATTGTTCAGAGGCAACTCACCCGCAGCTCATCGCTGGCCATCATTTTGGTCCATTTATCTGGTTTCAGACGCATTGTGGTCGTTGTGTAGGAGGCCACCCGCTCCAGCCTGGAATCACTGAAGTCCCGCTGGACTCGCTGGCGACCGCTGCTCCCGCCGGTGGGCAGACCCTCCTCATCGCTACTGGCCATTCCCGCCGCATCGGACATTGGTCAGGGCTCAGGATTGGATTCGGCCTCGTGTACCAGCGGCTGTGATGCGGCAAATCAAACAACTCGGCGCGGCAACTGGCGTTAAAATGATGATGGGCCCGCTTCGTGTGACCTCTAATGCCGGGGCGGCCAGTGGGCGGCGGTCGCAGCGCCAGCCACGCCCCACATATCGATCAAACTTCAAATTCGCATTAACAGAGGAACACTTTAAAGTGTGTGCCCTGCGCGCAGTTATTTCAAATGCAAAATGCAAATAGGGGAAAGTCTAGCCCCTTTCCCTGGCCACCTGGCCAACTTTAATTGCACACGAAGTGAGCGAAATGTAATTTCCGTTTTTCTGAAAGTTCTCAGCGCCAAAACTCAAAGCACATAAGTCAACATCAGATGGTTTTTCGGCCACGAGGCAGTCAAATGCGATGTGCTCATGATTTTCAGTGGCCAACACGGCGTATGCTTAATGGGCGCTCAGCTGATCGAATGTCCTGGCACTTGGCCCCTTGGCAGTTTAAGTGCCAAGTCATCATCAGCAGAAGTCAGAAGTGTATCAGTGTGGATCAGAGGCAGTGAAATTTATGGTAGCACATCCTGGTTATCCCTTCCGCTCAAGTGCTGTGAGTGAGTGACTGACATGTGTCAAGTAACAGCAAGTAGTTGCCATTGCAGTTGCAGTTGCAATTGCACCCGCAGCAACAAAGGCCGTGGAGCATAGTTAAAACGCTCTGCAATTACCGCAAGTACACATGGAACTTTGCACCCAGATAGTACTCGACCCAAATGCTACCCTACCCACATTAAGAAATATTTATTTTGCGACCAAGAGTTTACCATAAGTAACTTGTGAGTTCGCTGTGCTTTCCATTTTTTTTTCTTGTGTCCATCCTAAGTAGCTTATGTTGCATTGGCAACTAAAGTAAAGTGGGTTCCTTGTCAGCAATCCCATCCTTTGTCCTGCTGCTAATGTACCATGGCATACCTACCCCAACGGAAACCTGCTGACTGCGTATCACGATGATGGGGATGATGATGATGACAGGGATGTCGGCCATTCTGGACCGCTGTGTAACTTTGATGTGAACTCCACTTTTAAATATCAGCGTCACATCAAAAACAAGTGCTTGGCAACCCGCAGCTCTGCTCCCATTTCTGGTCGGGATTGGTCTCTGCCATTCTGGCACTCTGGCACCCTCGGGACAAATGCATTGCCCTCATTTTCGGAGGCAACCGCAACTGTAGCTGTAGCGCTGAGTTGAGCTCCCTTCTCCGTTGGGCGGGGATTTCGGATTTTGGATTTGGATCGGGGGCGGCGGCAGTTCTGTTGTTAATGAATTTGCTCAAGCTGTTTGCGCGCAGCTTAAAATTCACTCTTGCCCCAGGCTGGCAGCTAGGAAACGAAGCCACACGGAAAGAAACAAAGTAAGTTCTCAATATAAAAAACAAACAAATTTTATGGGAAGCTAAGATTTTATGATCCAATGAAATTTAAATTTGATATACATTATTATTCTTTTAGAAACTATTAAACTAATACCAAGAACTATTTCCAAGAGGCTAATACATTTCACTTTAATATTATCACTACCATTATTTCTTATTGAATGCAATTATCGAATATTATTAATAAATGGATTTCACTTGTGAAGGTGTCTAAAAGTATGCTTTGAAATATTTTGTACATTCAGAAGTCCTATGAATTCCGTCACAAATGATAAATGCTTTTTTTACTGCATACTTTTAGGCGCCTTTTTAAAGTTTTAAAGTTAAGCTTAAATGGTACCTTAAGGGACCTTTTTGTTTTCTGTGCACAAATCCCTTCCGCTCTCGTTTCATCCATAAACTTGTTAATATACAAATATATTTGAATAAACATTTCAGCAATAAAAGAGATTATTTTACATAGTTTGCATAGCAGTCAGTTGGGGACTCCAGGTCCTTCTTGTTTCTCCAGTCCAAAGCAGTTCCATTTGCCTGCCTTCTGCTTGGCCAGCTCATCGGCCATAATGTCCTGGCCAAAGTGGGTCCTTGCTGTCTGCGGAGCAAAGACGTGCATAAATAGTGCGACAGTCCAAGTCAAACATTGAAAGCAAACGAAGAAAATATGCGATGGTTGGGTTGGAGAAGAAGCCGCAAGAAAAATAAACTTCGAATTGATTTTAAAAGGAATGCCTCGATGGCCCCGGCACACTTCAAATTAAGTAAATCGCACAAAAGCCGAGCTGTGTGGATGGTAGACGGTTGGAAAAATGTACAGATGGACAGTGGTCGGCAGTGAGTCGTGGAAAATGAAACTGTGAAATGCTTTTACTACATTTTCCCGCCGAGTGGCCGTTGGTCGTACTCGTAGTCGTACTTTTTGAATTTATGCCAAGCCTCGATCCGAACAAGTTGGCTTGTACTTTATGACCGAACCCCTTTCGAACCCCACCCGTCCTTTCCCACTTTTTCCGGGGCTGCAGCTGCTGATGAGTTTCATTATGTGCGAACAAATCATCACATGCCACTGGACCGGGCTGGATGTTGGGTGGAAAATCTGAGGATGGAAAAGGGCGGAGGAGCTGAGAGGCTGGGCGGCAGACTGCACGGCGTCGTCCTCGTTTAAAAGCAATTTCGTGCATTTGTTAAGGACACGCGATTCGATGTGTGTGCGAGGAGTGCCAGTGTGAGGAAAGTCAACACTATTTCATTACGGACAAAGACCATTTCCATTTGGGCGAATTTATGAGAGTGCGGGCATGCAGCGGTGGCTCTTAAAAAAAGAAATGCGTTTGGAAAATGGCCGAGGCACTCAATGAAAAGCCCAGGCCCAACAACAAATCGATCAGCGCACAAAAAGATAAATACAAAACGGAGCGTTTGACGGGGCAAACAATGCCAGTCCTAAGCCATCCGCCAATGTCCAAACTTGAAACAAACAAAATTGGGCGGAAAAAACTAGAAAGAATACTATTATTATAGGATTAGACTAAGGGATACCAACTAAAAAGTTCTTGACTTTATTAGAGTTCTTTATCAGCTAGTTATCTTCTAAGAAAACTAAAGTGTCTCTGATTTGGGTAATTAAAAAGTAGATATATATACTTTTACGATTTGTCCGATTTTAAGAATTACTTTTCAAAATCATTTATTAAGGTGTCGAAAAGTATGCAACAAAATGTTCGGAGTACGGATTCTATTTGAATGACGATGTGGTTATTTCATTGCATTCTTTTAGGAGCGTTTTTTAAGTGATTTCGAAAACCTGGTAATTTTTGTTACACCTCTTAAATATTTGAGCCCTAACAAATTGAAAGCTCCATTTATGTGATTCTGGTCAAAACTGTACCTTTTTCTGTTGCAAAGGTTCTATGAAACCCTATATACCCTTTAAACGCATTACGAAAGCCCAAAAAATCGCCAGATAGCCAGAATGGATCGGCAAACGAAGCCAAACCGACAACTCCTGTCCGGCTGTTAGCGGCATTGTGTGCAGTCTAACGACAACATTCAATAAACAATTCACAATTGATTGACAAACGGACGGGCGGTCCAGTGTTATTCGGATTCACTGCTGACGACTGCCGATTGACGACTGACCAGAAGGACTAGCTGCTACAGCGCCCCTCTCCAGCGGACATTGTGAAAACGGCCCATAAATGAGCAACCACGACAAGGCGGCGGAAGGATGTTAGTTCGAGTGGATGAGGAAATTGAAAGCGAATGCTGACAACAACAAAGTTGGCTCAAACAAAAAAAAAATGAAGGAAAAAAAGCTAAAATAGAGCAGAATAGGCGACAGAATCCGAGTCCCCCGTCCGAAAAACAGGCAAATATAACGAGAGTCCGGCTGCTGGAACACAAAAACAATGAAAGCAAATTTCTGTGCGGACATCCGGCGGCGATTAGACGTGGACACTGAGCAGTGAACAGTGAAAAGTGAACAACGAACGACGAACATCGAAGTCTAAACACTGGCCAGTGGTAATCGATTGTGGTTGGGTGGGAATTCCAAGGGGGAGTTTCATTTGGTAGCAAGTCCAAGTGGGATTCTCTGAAAAATCTGACTTTGATGTAGGTAGATCTACGACAAATTATACAGTGAGTTCTGGGAATTCTTCCACTTTAATTTTGGTCACGTCTCAGTTGGTCACTTCCTGTTTTCCTTGAATTTAAATAAGTCCCAAGGCGGTAAGTCTGCCGCTTGAGAGTTCATCTTCATCTATCTTAAAGTAAATCACTTCCTAACAGTTAATTAGGTCCCTCGTTGGGCGCCAAATGTTTTTTTAAGGAAACTAACAATATAATATGGGGTTTTTCCTTATGGTCTACTATTCAATATACATTGTGCTTATCGAAGCATGATGTATACTGTACGAGTGGCGGTAGAAAACGAGCAGAACTATTTCCTATGCCCCCTTAATAAGAGTAATTAAATCTGATAAGAATGTAGATTTGTGGAACTATAGGTATGTTTCTATTTAAATCATTTCCTTTGAATATTTGACCCAGATAGTCAGATGTTATGGCCTTGGGAATATTAATTAAGCGATCTTCGATCCGCCTTGGATCGTTAGATGGGTCCTAATTAAAATCGCTGCCCGGCTAATTGTGCTCGTGACTCTTGCAGCTCATTAGCTCGACTCACGTAGTGCCGTGTTGGGCATAGTTTGGCAATTGCTGGCCAAAAGTTTGCAGCGCAACAGCAACAAACGGGCGGATAAAGATAAAGATAGCGATGGAGGTCAGCGCAACGTTATGTAAGGCTGAAGTTTTGCAAATCCTTTTGGCAATTAGATACTTGTTGGAAGGGGACAGGAAGGACGATGGACGAGGGACGGGGGACGCCCACAAATATTGCACAAGTATCAAGTATCGTCGCTGGCCGCCGTGGCATTTCGCAGTGCAAATATCCCATTACTCGGATGAAACTTTTAATTAAAAAGTTGCCAATGACAAACGGGACGAGGTTTGCGGGTCCTTCTCCTCCTGCGACCCTGCTGAGAAATGCGCCGTAGTCTCAGCAGAAATATTCGGTTCAGTTCGGTTCGGCCAGTGGGATATATGGTATATGGCTTGGGATTGGGATTGGTA